TTTAATTAAACCAAACACAACAAATAATGAATAATTATCAAAACTTACCTAATTATTGCTTGAGAAAATAGTAACAATAATAAAGTATAAAAATTCCCTTTTTCTTCCCCAACACTAAGCAAAAGTAGCTTACAACGTACTTATTAATGTTACTGAAAATTACTGAAACCTAATTAATAACCTAAGATTAGGGCAGACTAAAAACCCTTTCTAAAAAGCCCCCACTTACTACTTTTTTGGTAATATTTTAATTTACTACATTAATTAAGTCTTTATTTTGTTTATAATTGTTATAATTTAATTTTTACAAATTACTATAAAATATCTAATTTAAATTACTATTTAGGTTTTTATTTTTTATTTTTAATCACAGACCAGACACCATATATATTCCCCTTTCCCAAGTTGAAACATAGTACCTACTAATTTAAGTTTTATACATCTTATTTTTTATTTTATCAGTCTACTAAATTTATGCATTTTTTTTTCAAAAAAATAAAATAAAATATGTAATTTTCATTTCATAATAAATCACTTCTGTACACTCCTTAATTTATATAATTCAATATTCTACTTATTTACGTATACGATACAAATATCTAGACATCAGTTTATTTAAAATTCTTACATTATTAATTCACTTATATATTTTTTAAAAATATTTTTACTTTATGTTACAATCTACCAATATAATACTAGATAAAACAGAAGCAGTAGTATTTTATTCTTACGTTCCTATTATGATTTTTATTGTTTTAAATATGATAATCATAATATTAGAACTTGTATGACTCTTATTTAAAATTAGATTTTATATATATTAAAAAATTACATAGTAATAATTAACTATCTATATATGCATATGACCAATAATTGCATGTAATATTTTATAAAAAGTAAAAGAAAATATATTTATAAAAAAAATATTAAAATGATATAATAAATAATTTGAATAAAATCTAATAGGAAACGTGTCCCAGATTTACATGTTTCCCAACCAACATGCCACTCCACTGTGCTGTATATGAAGGCATGATAATATATTACATTATGGACAAGAAAGAATTATATGCACAATCGGATTTAAATTTATGGTATTGAATAATATATATATATATATACATAATATAATTTAATAATAATAGTAAAAATATATTGAATTTAATTTTTATAATTTTTTATAAATAATAAAAAATAGTTAAAAATATGGGTAAATATACCCTACAATTTTAATTTTAATTTTTTTTGTATATTAATTATACATACATGTAAGGAGAGAAAATTAATTTACAATGAGATTTTTTATTATTATTTTATTTATATTGAGTAAAAAAATGTAATACAAAATTTTACAACCAATTTTTTATTCACAGCCCCATGTGGCGAGACAATTGTCATGACCAAACTTTAAAATAATATAATACTTAGCTTATTTCTAAGGAATATATGTGATAGGTAACGAGTAAGAATATATTTTATTAAATTGCACTCAAAGTTACAATAATTAATAGATGGACTGTAAAATAAAATAATTGTATATTAGTAATTTAAGGTAATATATAAAAATACTTTTTATTATATGTCCGGTGATCATATTTCTTTAATTAAAATACAAATACATTAATTATAAATAATTAAAAATAATAAAATAATTATATTGATTGTGAAAGAGAATATATAAAGTTGGTGAAAAGCAAGGCAATAATAAATACATACAAACATACCTACTAACAAATTACATACCAGTTTGGCCAATGCTGCTTTTGGGAAAAAAATAAAATAAAATAAAATAAATGGGTCCCATCTAAAAAGCAAAAACCAAATCAAACTTAACCAAGGGTTTATTTATTTATTTATATACATATTTTTAATGGGAACATTTTGAAAAACAAATTCAACGTGACAATGACACCCACTTTTATTGAAGTCTCAATTGGGCACAAGAATTATACCCCTTCTTTTCGATTGAAAAGTTGTTTTTTTTTATTTTTGTCCGTCTCAAAATAAGGTTATTATTTTTTAATTTAATAATTATACTGCCTACCTAACGTAATAAATACCCTTTCAACTTACATTATATTACACAATACTAATAAGGGTGTTTTCGTTTTTTTCACTACAACTAATTATAATACTAAATAATATTAAAAAATCTACGTGCAAAAAGTAAATGACAACCTTGCACCGGGGCGGACGGAGTACATTCATTTCAGGTTTGAATTTGGGTATATACTTTAAAATAGTACTCAATCCGTTCCAGAACCATAGTCTGAATTGGGTTTGACACGATATTTAAGAAATATTGATATTATATTAGTAATGAATAAAAAAATACAGGTAAAAATTTTTTTTACCCTGTATAAGTATAAAAAGCAGTTATATAATAATAATGAAAAAGTAAAAATAGTTTTTATAGTGATATAGTTATTTATGAAAATAAAACTGTTGTTTTGAGACTGACAAAAATAATAAATATAATTATTGTATTGAAAAAAAAGAGAGTAAACAATTAAGTTAAAATAATATTTAAATACTAATATGATATAAATATATGTTAGATGTGATATTTAAATTTAAAATTAATTTTTTTTATATGATACATTTAATAAAAAAATAATTATTTGATTCGATAATTTTAAATTGAATATATATATAGTTCTAAACCAAAAACCAGACTATAAGGAATATACTCTATTGTCCTAAGTCGTAATCATTCCTATCATTTCTGACAAACTGTTCACATGCTGTGCCAAGTTCTGACAAGGGTTTGTATTTTTCAAAATTTTAAATAATATGTTAATATAATATTTTAAATAAAATGAGTGACTAATGTTATAGTTTAAATAAATGATTTTATTTTTTATTTTTTTATCTATTATTTTAAATAATATTTATTTGATTCAGGAGTATATTTTTTGTAAAAAGTAAATTAATTGAGTATAAAGAGCTTAGCACATTAACATTGGGCTTGTATTTACTGTGGATCCATTAGAAGGCCCATTAGGCTGTGTGATGTAATTCAAGTAAAGCCCAAACAATACAAAGATTGAAATATCCAAATAATTTAGTAGTAAGAGAAATGATGATTGGCAAAGTTTGTAAAAATGTTCAATAATTTATTTCAGTTACAATTAATAATAAAAACTTTAATAAAGTGTGAATGGTAATGGTCTGTTTGTATTATTTTATTTTTTTTATATATATTTTAACTTTATTATCCATTAAAATAATTTAAAATGTTAACCAATGAAAAAAAAAGTCAAAAAGATTTGATAGTGATAAATATATATGAAAAAGCAAAATTGCTCACAACTTTGATTAAAATGGATGTGGGTGCTGATTTAATTTTGAAAGTGGCATATAGGATGGTGAATTTAATAATTTAGCAATCTTAAAAAAAATAAAATAATAAAATTATCCTTGTTTAATAAATAGTTAATATTAATTCAGCATATACTGAATTAGTTATGCATATGAGTATGCTAATTTTGTAGATTAAATTTTAATTTGACTTTGATATTAAAATAATAAATTATTAAATAATTTATAACAATTAAAAATAAAAAAAATTGAAAAAATCGCATGTTTATTAAAGAAACAAATCCTATGTCAAAATGGAATCAAATATTCTCATACGTCAAAGACAGACTACTTGAGTACTGTTTGGATAAAAGGTTTTTGAGGTTAAGACAATGGTGTCCCAACCCTACATGAAAATGAAAGGACAGACAAAGAGACAGCAGACAGTTGTCATTACATGGCGTGAAAGACCATCTCGCCACCGCCACCGCCACCGCCACCGCACCGCCGCGACGGAGCATATCGACGGAATTAATGATCGATGTTTACCGGTCAAAGCATTGAAAGTATTTTGTCTTCAGTAATACTTTTAATTTATTCGACGACGTCGTATCTGTTCCCCACACTTTGCCTGTATGTAAATCATCCACAATTTTAGTTTCGACAGATCGATTAACCTAATTAATCAGAAAGAAGATGACTTCAGCACCTCATCTTTGACTTACCACTCTCACTCATCACTACCTTCTTTTTATTATTATTATTATTATATTATTATTAGGGTTTGCATTGAATTCATTCACCTCAGCTAGCTCCCATTTCTCGGTAGCTTTTTTTGGATCTTTCCTCTGTACGTACGCAGCGCTCGAAGCTGCGCTGTCCCCGTTTGAACACAAAGTTGATAATAATAATAATAATAATAATAATAATAATAAGTAGATCTGCTTATATTACGTTTCATCCTTCACAAACTAACATTTTATTTCTTTTATTTAAAATATCTAATTATTATTATTATTATTTTTTTATACACAAAATTTATTTATTTTTATCTTCACTTTATTTATTTATTTATTTATTTTATTTATATATAAAATAAGGATAAATTTCTCATTTATAACCAAAAAAATAATAATAATTATTTAAAAATGTATGTAAATATCAATTAGAATATTAAAAAAATAGACGGAGAAAATAGCAGTATTTCCTCGTTCCCTTAACCATCTATCCATTTTTTCATTTTGGGTTCGTTCTATAACAAAATATTTATTTATTTTAATAATTGCAATATTTACTTAACATTACAAATACCCTTCCAATTTATAATATATTACACAAATATCATTATTTTTATATCATATAATACTAAAAGGTTAATTTAATTTTTTTATCTTTATTCCTATTTTATCTTATTATAATATTAATATTTCTAAAATTTCGTATAAAAAATAAATGAATATATAAATATGAAACATACAGGATAATCCAACTTTTTAATTATTCTATTTATAGTTTATATTTTTCCCACTTTACCAACTGTAAAGTACGTACTCCTACAGCAAAGCTTTATTCTTTTCCGGGAAAGTTCAGCGTCGTTGTCAGCAATGGCGGCCGCACCTCCACAATCGATCTATCTATCTATCTATATATATATATATATCTTAATAAATACTTATATAATCTCCCTCCCCTGTCCTAACCTGCGCAGAATCAACCTTAATTAATTTCTGCAATGGAAATTATTCATCACCACAATCTAGCCATGAAAACAGAAGAAGAAAAACTCCCACCATTGATCCAAGCCATTGCAGCACGAGAGATCGCAGGTTTCGACAATGCTAATAACCTGCACCTGCACGATCTCAAAATCTCTATCCTCGTACGTTTCCATCTAATCTTCTATTAATCCTAAATTTATTAAGCACCAACGATGTTCAATTCCTCAATTAATTATTAATTAATGTTGTCAGGATGCTAATGAAGAACAGAAACAAGTGTCCATCAGTATGCCGTCTTCCCCAATCGAAGTTCACGTCGGAAGCAGCACTCTTTATCCAATGTCCGATTCCGCCGCCAAATTCCACTCGCAGCCAATCCCTAATAATAATAAGCTTAAGTACCAAAGATTCGATTCCTTCAAGACATGGTCGGGCAAGCTTGAGAGACAGATTTCCAATCTCCGAGGTAAGCCCTGCGAGATCCACGAAAACGATGATATCGAAAATCTCCCCCTCGATCGATTCTTCGACGCCTTGGAAGGCCCTGAATTGGACACTCTTCGCGTACGTACTTTAATTTAATTTAATTTAATTTTATCTTCATTAATTACTAGACACTAGAATAAGTATATGATTAATTACAATATTTTTAACTGCTAAATATTTTTTTAACTAATTTTTTTTTGTTAGAAAATTTTATCTTCATAGCAAAAAAAAAAAAGTTACCAAATTATTTTTCATATCCAAAATTATATGCATAAAAAAGTCATAAATATTTTATTGCTAAAACTTTTAGTTATTAATTTTAATTATGAAAAAATATTTTAAACTACGAAATTGTATTTTTATAGTTATAACTATTTTTTTAACTTTAACGTCAAGAAAATCTGCTTTTTTGTTAAGAAAATTATATTTGTGCTGTAAAGGACTAAATAAGTTTAGTAGCAAAAATATTTTTGCTATGAATTATAATATTATATTGTTGTTAAATTTCAATTTTTTTTTTTAATAGTATAACCTTAAAAAAAACAAAACAATTAAGGTTAATTAATGAATGAATGCATTGCAGGCGTCGGAGGAGATAATCCTGCCGGAAAACGAGAAGTGGCCGTTCCTCCTCCGGTTTCCGATCTCGACGTTCGGAATATGCCTCGGCGTCAGCAGCCAAGCCATTATGTGGAAGGCTCTTGCAACCTCGGACTCCACGAAGTTCCTCCACGTCACGCCGGAGATAAACCTTGCCCTCTGGCTCGTCGCCGCCGCCCTCGTCGCCGCCGTCTCCGCCGTCTACTCTCTAAAGGTCATCTTCTACTTCGAAGCCGTCCGCCGCGAGTACTTCCACCCGGTGCGCGTGAACTTCTTCTTCGCGCCGCTCGTCGCCGTCGTCTTCCTGGCCATCGGAGCGCCGCCGCCGGTCGCCGGAAAACTCCACTCTGCGGCGTGGTACGCTCTGATGGCGCCGATCCTGTGCCTGGAGGTGAAGATCTACGGGCAGTGGATGTCGGGCGGGCAGCGACGGCTGTCGAAAGTGGCGAACCCGTCGAACCACCTGGCAGTGGTGGGGAACTTCGCCGGCGCGGTGCTGGGGGCGGCGATGGGGCTGAAGGAGGGGCCGGTGTTCTTCTTCGCGGTGGGGCTGGCGCATTACGTGGTGCTGTTTGTGACGCTTTACCAGAGGCTTCCGACCAACGAGACGCTGCCAAAGGAGCTCCACCCGGTGTTTTTTCTGTTCGTCGCCGCCCCGAGCACCGCCGCCGTGGCCTGGACGGAGATCCGGGACTCCTTCGACCATGGCTCCCGGATCGCCTACTTCATCGCCTTGTTCCTCTATTTCTCGCTGGTATATATATGCTAACTAAATTATTTATTTATTATTCAAAATTTTAAAAATATATATTATAATAAATAAAATTTCATCTTAAGTACACAATTTTCCAAAAATTCAAAATTTCCAGAACGTACGTTTAGTTAATTACATATTGATCCGACCATTTTCTTGACGTTGTGCTATTTTCAGGCTGTACGTGTTAATTTCTTCCGTGGCTTCAGGTATGCATGCGTGTGTACTGTATAAACATTAAATTAAATATTTCTTCATATTATATTAAATAATAATTCTAATTTAAAATCTAAACCCAAAATCTAATTAAGGTTGTGTTTGTGTTTAATTTAGTTTAACTTTCTCAATAATTATTTATTCTAATTTATAATTTATATTTTAAACATAATATATATATATATATAATCGGTTTGGGTGGGTGGTGCAGATTCTCGTTGGCGTGGTGGGCGTACACGTTTCCGATGACGGGCGCGGCGGTGGCGACGATGAAATACGCGGACGCGGTTCCAGGTGCGGGGACACGATTGTTGGCGGTGACGCTGTGCGGGGTGGCGACGGTGGCAGTGGCGGCGCTGCTGGTGGCGACGGTGGTGCACGCGTGCGTGCTCAAGGATCTGTTCCCCAACGACATGGCTATCGCGATTAGCGGGAAGAGACCTAAGATGACACGAAAATGGCGCCATCGTTATCGTCGGAGATCATCAAGCAGCTCGTCGACGACGGATTCTGATTATTGCCAAGGAAATTAGCTAGCTAGGGTTCGTCGGATGCCACCATGATTTGACAGTACATGCAGCTGCAGATTTGGCAAAGTAAGAAGAGGATGATGATCTCGGGTCGGGTCGGGTTTGCCCACGCTGCTAATATTAGTTATATTATTATTATAGTATATCAACGGAGGAACCGTCTAGAATGTTCCGGTGAAGTTGATGATGATTGAAAATATTCGTTCTCTAGCTCCCTCTGATTGGCGGGCTGATGTTGAAAAATAAAAATTGATGATTGAATTATATATTGAAGTGTGTTTCTTTGGGGCTTAGTTTGATAATTTTTTTATTTAAATTTGATAGTAAAATAATATTCCCTCTTCCTTCGCTAAAAATTAAATATATTTTTGTATTAAGGTAGGATTATTTTAACTAAAATAATAAGAAAATGATACTTCGAAATGGGACCGACAAAAATAATAAAAAATAACGTATATGATAAAGATGTTTTTTTAAGATCTAAATAATAAATTCTTATCGAGTAAAAAAAAACACAATTTATTTGCGAGGAGTTTTGTCCTCGTGACAAGACGATGAAACACCAGGGGTGTTTGGTAAATAGAATAAAATTCCAGAATCGAAATAAAAATAAAATTGAAGAGAAATAGAATTGAGCAAAAAATGAAAGTTTTAGATGAGAAATGTAAAAAAGTTATAGTTATATAAATTGATCAAATAAGAATAAATAATTAATCGGATAATGGTGACTTCTTTTTTTTAAAAAAATTATAAAGTATATACGATGTTTTTTAAAATTATATTTTAGTATAATTTTTTAAAAAATCGTAAAAATTAAATATTTTAACAATAAACTTAATTTAATTTTTGTAAAACTAAAATAATATAATTTTAAAAAATATAAAAAATATATACTGAAAACATCATTTCTCTCAATTTCTGGGAGAGAAATGAAAATGATTTATTTTTCAAGTTTTATTTCTTTGACTCAAACAAACAAGAAAAATGAAACCATTTTGCCTCATTTTTTTTTTACCAAACACACCTGTAATATAACTTTTGCTTGATTTATTTTTAAATTTTTTGATACCATTTATTATATATATATATTATTAGGCATTTCTTTTTTAAAAATATAAAATATCAAATTAAATAATTAATCTTTTATTATTTAGAAAATCTATTTTTCAAAAACTTTTATTTGATTTTTAATTTATGTTACAATACTTACAAACAATAAATTTTTTTACAAAATAGCAGTATTATACTTAAATAGAAACCAACCTAATAAGATGACTAATTAGTTTAATTAAAATTAAAAAATTTAAAATAAAATTAAAGTGTATAATCATTTTAAAGGAAAAAAAACGAAAATGAATGATAGAAACTACATGGTACGTGAAACTGAGGAAGTCCTTTGCATAAAAATAAAATAAAATAATGTAAAAATGCTTAAAAGTGATTAAAAAAATAAAAGAATAATGAAAGAATTTGCACATATGCGCTGCTACCCAACTTGAATTCAATTTAAGTGATAATTTACTTCACAACACTCCACTAAACAAAAGAATTTCAAGTAAATTTACTTCACAACAACACTCTAACTAAAAAAAAAATGAAAAAATCACTTCACAACAACACTAACTAAACAAAAGAAAAAATTCAAACAATTTACTTCACAACAACACTCTAACTAAATAAAAAAAACTCAAAATCAACAGCACAACACAAGATGAGCAGTAGGCTGTAAACAGACATACCAGTATGAGCTCAAAAAAGAGTCCATTGGGATCCATCCAAGGCTGGAATTGCTGCAGAAATTCCATCACAATTCTGAATATCCCGGGATTGTTCGACCAGCGATTCACCCTCACTGTTCGGGAATTCCTTGGGCATAGACACGCCCCCACCGTGATGATGCAGGGGCATAGACACCGAAGACAGTCCTTGCCCATTCGGGAAATCCCTCAGCTGCAGCCCCAAGGCCCTCGGGAAATCCATGGATTGCAGCGTGTGAGGAGGCTCCGCCTCTCCGCTATTACATGGTGCATCTGGATCCTCCTCTGTGTTCAGGCCGGATGATGAAGAAACTCCTCCAATCGATGATAAATCCCTCCACTGCTGAGTGACCGTTTTGATCTTGGTGTAAAACTCGATCCCTGTTTTGGCTGCAAATGCAATGAATGTTGTTCAGTTGTAAACAAAATTTGGCCACGTTCTGATATGATTGTGTGATTTACCGTAAAAGTTAACATCTCCGGTGAATGAAGCTTTGGAGCCATTGAATGAGAACAAAGGTAATGGTGCCGAAACAGCTGTGTTTATGCCAATCTGCATTCAAAGAACCAAGGAAGTATCAATAAACTGTAAACTGAGCAATTTATTATTATTATTATTATTGTTGTTGTCCCTTTTTTCATGTCAAAAAATTGATGGAATGGAACCTGTCCTGTGAGACACAAAAAATTGATAAGTGTTGGAGACCTACATGCAAAGGATGTGTGTCACAATGTTGGATCCTTGTATCATAAGGTAAACGAATCCTAAATCGGATTTTGAAAGATGCAAATTAGAAGTGAAATGAGTTTATATTTGGATCAGAAATGCTAAGTTTTCTCAACCCAGACGCTAAAGCCATTTTATTCCGACACTGTCTTGTGACAAGGAAAAAGTATACTTGCCTGCCCAGAGTCTATCTCGATCTGGAATTTTCTCGCAGCAGCTAAAGATGACGTAAAAATGGAAGCTCCATTTCCATGTCTGCTGGAAACAAATTATCAAGTCAAAGCCAATCATCACAGTATTAAAAGTCGAGAATAACCGAGCACACTCATACTTGTTTCCGTTGACTATGCTTATTGCCTCATCTATCGTTCTAGCCTGCATATAAAAAGGGGGAGAAAGTGAGGAAAATGTATATTAGCAAATACCAAAAGAAAAAACCATTATGTTAGACGAACCTGCATGCAAAGGAGAACAGGACCCAATATCTCTTCCTGTATTTATCAATGAATGTAAGTTTCACTTATAACACAGCACAACAGTCTATTTCTACGTAGCAACATCATATATACCTTGTAACAAGTCATGTCTTCGGTGACATCAGTTAAGATTGTTGGACCGACGAAGTTTCCCAGCTCGTATTTAGGAACCTATAAGTTTGTTTTATAAAATCGATTAATAGACAGTAGTTCTCTATCAGATTTACAGTTGTGAATATATTTATTTATTTGTTAAGCACTTTGGAATTATCATAAAACTATCAAATATAAATACAGGAACAAGTGGATAAATAACTACAAATTCTCTACAGAAAGAAACGGGAGCAAATACAATAGTAAATCTGAAGGCATACCACTATCTTCCTCCCATCAAGAATTAATCTGGCTCCATTCTCAACAAATGTTTCAACCACCCTTGATATTCTTTCCTTAACCTAAAGCCAATCATTCATGAATATAGCACTTGAGTTAAAGTTTGAATCAGTATATCACCAAAAGCAAGGTTGTCTTTAGATAGGCTTTGAAAGTGTTTTGAAGTTTTGGATTGGTTGGAGAATAGTTTGAATATAAAAATAGGTGTTATATATGATATTTTGAATAAGTTTTTTGACATAATATTTTAAATGAAGGAAAGGCTTTGTATGTGATGTTTTCTAGAAAGAAATTTTTTTGATGAATATTGCGGAAACAGTAATGAGAACATAAAGTAAAGAGACCCCAAGTTATCGGCTCCCATTACTAACAACTGTGATTATCTTCTCTTCCGTCAACTATTTATGTCAAGTAATTGGATCATTAAGATATGTCCTTCAGTACACCTGCTTACTGATCACTGGACCGATGTCCGCGCCTGCTTCAGTTCCAGCATCTACTTTAAGTTGCATGGTACGCTCCACTAGCTTCTCTTCCCTGAAGAAGAGAAAATTTCCAAACTTATATATAATTGTGTGCGTGACACCATATTAGGCACTGTTTATCACATAGAAGTTGACCAAAATAAATCATCAGAGTTTTCCAAGCTAGTGCAGCAATGGCACATGCAATAATTCGAACAAGAATCATACAACGAAAAGTATGCTAAATATCTCCACGGAACACCTCAGCCACCACCAGCTGATACAGCAGTGATGATGATAGACAATGTATATTAAAAAACAATATCTCAGCCAGATATATTGTTTAAAAGGTACTTACCAAGGCTTTGATCCTCCAACAAATATAACAGCACTAATTGCAGTACATCTCTGTACTGCAGATCCAAATCCAGCCGAAACAAGCGCATTTAAAGTAGCATCCATGTTTGCATCTGGCATAACAACTGCAAGGCTCTTGGCACCAATATTGGTCTGAGGAGTACAATAAATATCAATTTATTCAAACAATAAAAGAATTTCCACAAGAACATAGTAAGAATTTGTAGAGGATTGCTTTCACCTGAACTCGTTTGCTGTAGGCAGATGCCTTTGCATGAACATACATTCCTGGCTGGAAACCAAATATTAATTTAAAGGTATGAAACACGGAGAGGCATGAAACAGATCATCTGTTTAGCTCAGATCTTGACCACCAATACAGATGTGCTATTCATTGAGAAACACACGTTTGCAACATGTTAACTGCATCAAACTTGAGTAATTACCTAAAAAAGTGCCTACATACAACTATTGATAAGGAGCATAGATGAGGAGTCAAATGAAGAACTGTAATTCATGTTATTATCAGAGATTTGAAAAAGTTAACCTTTCTGAATGACCAATTAATTTGCAAATGTACAGAACACCCGTTAGTATTATGTTAAGAAAAGGGATTAATGTAATTATAGAAGTGGCACAAGAATGATCCAAAACCAACTATTTATCGTCATGTTCTTAAACCAAATAAATGTGTGTGTGTGTGAGAGAGAGAGAGAGAAAGAAACACAAAGCAAACATAAACTCACTACATCTGAGCCGACATATGACACAGCTTTGATATCTTCATCATCACAAATGGCATCAATGGCATCCTATATGATTAGAGACAAATTATTAAAACCCATTGCACATATAAACACAATAAAAAAATAAACTGTGTTATGCATATTTGAGGATTTCCTACTCAACTAAGTGAAGTCAAAAGATGCCATTAGTGTAGAAATCTTATGTGGTTATTAACCAAAAGCAATATAAACTCTCCAGCCAAGGAATGAAGGAATCGAGATGAAAACAAGAATGTCATGGAATACATTTAAAATGAAACACCAACAGCTTACATTGGTACCGTGAATGACATTTAGGACACCATTAGGCAAACCAGCCTCCACTGCTAATTCAGCCAGATGCATGCACGCTCCTGAAGGCAATTGTAGGGAATATATTATCAATTACAAGAATTGTTTTATTGGTCTGAATATGGTGTAAAAAAAAAAATACACGCAGAAGACCGTAAACGTTTTCAGAGTACGTACCGCCATGCAGAAACTAAATTAAGGGGATTTACAGAGACAGATTAGTGCATAAAACGGAGATATTCAATCCTTAAACATGAACGAGATAATGTGTATTAAGATTATGAATGGTTCATCCTAAATACCTGGCGTTCTCTCAGAAGGTTTTATAACAAAAGTATTGCCACATGTAACAGCAATTGGAAACATCTGCAGAAAACTCATAATAAGACACTGGAAAGTGCGGTTATATAAATAATATTAATGACAATAACATCTCACTTTGCTAGGGAAGTGATTCTTTAGAAAATTGCAAGTGATAAGGGAGAGAAGTTCCCCTGTTACCCTTACCTTAGGAATTGCTTCCACTTATGCATTCAATCCAATTCTGTTACCCTAAAGCTTTGCATATTTGGACAATAAATTGTCAGCTATTAGATGTTTTGTCCATCCATAAAAATGTTCAGGCTTCTCCAAACTACTGTGAGTGCTGTTTAAGCAAATCAACTATTTTTAATCTAACAAGCCAAGGGGTTGTAGCTCAAGTAGTTGAGCATTTTTTGGCATGATTGAGGTTGGAGCTTCAATCCCCATGGAGGGCCTAAGTGGGTGCATGGGGTAAAAAAAAAAAAAAAAAAAAAAAAAAAAAAAACCTATTTTTAGTCTAACACGCAGCAATAAACTATTATGGTAACCTGACTGTTGATCCCTTAAGAATCACAAAAGACACTAGCTCTGTTTAAGGTATTTGAAAGAAGTTTTCATCAAGTTCTCACCAAAATCTGCTAAGAACATTTCAGGTCTTTCATGTGATGTGATGTTAAAGTTGTGTTATTTTGATCAACCATTCTGTTTTTGATGATTTCAGGTTCTGCAGATCAATATTATAAACAAGACACTAGCAGTTAAAAAGGGAAAGTAGGAAAGTGATTTTTACATGTAGAAAAATTAAATCGTAACAAGCTAGTGTATGGCAGTCAAGTGAAGTTGCAGGAAAAAAATGCAAATATAAAAGGAAAAGGTATAATGAAAATGCATACCAATAATGGAATCATGCCTGGAAAATTGTAAGAGCATATTCCTGCACAAACACCAAGGGGCTCATGGATAGTGTAAATGTCGGTTCCATTTGATATGTTTGATGAGAATTGCCCCATGTGCAAACTGGCGATTCCACAAGCATGTTCAACAAGCTCTGGTGTAAAATATGGAATATTAAGATCAACAACAGGATACATTTAACTAATAACTGGCTTTTAACAGATCTCAAGATCAAACATCTTGAAAGATTCTTAATCAAATTGGAAAAATCTTAGAAGCATAACACCGTATATGCAAATAATCAATAAATTCACCATTCTGATGCTACACTTAATGCTTCAACTCCAGGTGCCATACAGATCAATCAATTAAAAATAACAATAGATCTCACCAATCCCACGAGAGACGTCATCAAATGCATCCTTTAATGTTTTACCCTGCTCTATGGTTATATTGCTGGCAATCTTACCCTGGAAAACAATAACAATGATTCCAGTTACAGAAACTTTAATACTTGAAACAGTTACGATGGGGGGTACCACAAACTTACAATATCTCGGGTAATAAGCTCTTGAAGCTTGAACATAATGCGTTGACGAGAAGCAACTGGAGTAGCTCTCCATGAAATGGATGCTCTTTTAGCTGCAAATAATGCAGCCTTGAGCTCCTCTTCTGTAGATAAAGGAACTTGAGCAACCAATTGCTGTGTAGCCTACAATTGATTGGGGACTATAAGTATAAATATTTACTTACAGAAAGCTGATGGTACACATAAATGTTCTTCACTTACAGGGTTTAAAACATCAATGAATGTTGATGATTGTGAATCAACAAATCTACCGCCAATGAAATTTGGGACCCTCTGCAATGTGTCAACAAATTTATATGAGCCATATAAAAGCTTATTGCCAGACATATTGACCAATCAAAAGTTGACCAGAAAGAGTTCACTATCACAAATAAAATAACTGAAGGACATGTGTCATATAATAGCTAAAACGTTGGATATACATAACCAAACATTTATAGTATACAACTCAAATTACCGGGGGATAACGTTTCCTCCATGAAGATTCATATGATGTGGAAGGCTCTGAGTTTCCCTCAGCAAATGCAGAAGGTCTCAATGTCTTCAATCTCCTCACTGCAAACACATTAAGAATGTGAACGATGCTCAGCTGCTAACTGACATCATTGCTTAGTATTATCACAGATTTATCAAAATGTGTTTGCCCAATTATGGAGATGAAAAACGCATAGGCTGTCATCTGACTTTGTTGTCAATAATATATGAGTATTGATGGACTTTATAACTAAGCACCAACTTTGGACCATTTAGATAGCGGTGCTAAACCCTAAGAAGTTAGGATTTTGGTCAAATTAAAGTTTCTGATGGGCAATCCTATATCGAGGCAGCAGCACCGGCAATCCTTTGCCACAATGACACGGTGCTAAACCCTAAGAAATTAAGGTTTTGGCCAAATTAGAATTTTTAATGACTGTGATCCTCTTTTGCCGTAGGCGTCAAATTAGGGTGTCTGGTAGCGGCGGCACCGGAAATCCTCTTTTGTGGCAGTGGTGCTAAACCCTAAGAAACTAAACTCTAAATAGGCAGGAATTCCGAACATATGATTGAAGAACAAACCAAAAACTTGATCAAAACTGGAAACAATTTGAAAGATAGGTTGGAATTATCCAAAGAAGATGTGGCTGGAACAATCATAGTAAATCTCAAATTCGAGAGGCATGGATTGAAGTAACAACGATGTGGTCTCCGAGTACACTCCAAAGTTACAAGGATGAACCCGGAGAGGCTATGATAACATATTACATTTTGAGAGAATTGTTTATAATGAAATTAGAGCCTATTTATACACATAACACAAAAGGAACAAACTATAATAATAATTACCAAATCTAAATAATATTAACCAAAATATTTATCTAAAATATATATATCAACAAATACAAAAGCATGAATACAGCAAAAAATGTCTACTAATAGACAGCAGATGTTTTCCTCCCTTTTCCCTGTTTAGCTTAATATGATTGTTGTGAATGCTCTACTATTTGTGTTGTCGGCCTTGTCGGCCACTTCTTGCGATCATTTAAAAATTTTCTTTGATCAGAAGGAAACATATAATATTTAGCTTAAAAAGCATTTGAAGTGGCTAACAACCATATGCATTAAAAGAGTCAAGAGTAAGGATTTCAATTTGACTATAAATTGCATTATCATGGAGTTGGCTATTCCTGAAATTTGAAATACACATCAAAGATAGAAAAGAAATGAATGAAACTCCAACCTGTAAGATTTCCCTGACGGAGTTTTGCTTTCACATTATAAACATGTTTTGGTGTTGATAACAGCTCAGGATTTGTTTGCCTGAGTCTTTTAAGTATCTGTCGAGGTTTCAAACCAGCCTCTGTCATATCTTTAATCAGCATTACTTCCTTCTCACTGAAGCGACGAGCAGAAGGATGCTCGGAAATGTTCTTCAATGGCTCATGATTGTGTGAACCATTCTTAACAGTAAGCACCCATAGGCCATCCTCTTTCTTACCCACAACTTCAAATGGACAGTTTGTTAATCGAGAACCAGATTTTCTCTTCCGAAGATGTGCACCAGATGCCTCGTCAACAGGTTTACGCCTGTCTCGATAAACACCTCCTCTGTCACAACCAAGGACCACAACTTTTTCCTTCTTAGACTGTTTAATGGTGACAACATATCCTTGAGCGACAGCAAACTCCCCAACATGTGTAATAAGTTCTTCACGATCAATGAAACTCCCAGGTGGAGGTGGAAGCATTTGTGGAGTTACATCTAATTCCATGTAACTGGACAGGGGAAGCAAGTTGAACGGAACCTGCAAATCAGGTGAAGTCAACATAAACTTGCAAAAAACACGTCAAGCTAATCTACTGTGGCCATTTTTCGTGAGGGGAAAATGAAACTGTTGTGCAGATTGTCAATATAACAGAATACTGTATATCAAAGGAAGGGTGCTTTTGAATAACCATAGCTTTTGGACATCAGATGTGTGTTACTAAAAGCAATGAACATACTGGTGGTTACATGTGAATTTACAAACCATAAGGAAGGACATACATATACAGAAAATTGAAGAAACAGAATAGAATACAACTATGAAAAATAGTACAGCAGACAATGATTTGGATTATTAATCCCAACCCTCATTTAGTTTGATTGAACATAGAGAATCCCATCTCAAGGATTATCTCACTACTAACTTATCATATAAAAGTAAATAATCAAGGTCTTAGTCGCCAAATATGCATACAGCACAAAATACTTTGATTGATGCAATTGAAATATCATTCTAGCATGAGATGTAAAAGCCAACTACTTAAATGTTTTGTCCGAGTTTGCATAATCCTTTGATGCATGCAGCAGTGCTTGCAAATATGCCGAATGCATTACAATCATATGACTGATTCATGTTTCAAAATTTTCCTCCATCGACTATTATATGGAATGGCAAACTTAATCTATCATAATAGGTGACTAACTATGATTGTATTTAGTTGCATTTTCGTCCTTTTTTTTAATTTTTTCTTTTTTCACAATATAATCTAGAGAGCATTTACATTTTACCTAAAAATAAAAAGATATCCAACGCCAGTGTTTCATTTAGAACATTGACATTGACACCCATATATATTCTCCTCAAAAATTTCAAAATCCAATATTCCAGAAAGCACCAAACAACAAGTAAACACACCTATTAATGAATGTCAAAATTAGTTAATAATGAATTATCTTTTATGCATTTCTGCTGTGCACATATGCATTTGCTCGTGTCAGTGTTCCTTCTCTGCATAGACATGTAAACCAAACCCCACAGCTAACAATAAGGATCAGTATTATCCCGAGGGCTGTGATTAAAGTACAAATCAAATAACCTAATTATCAAATACTAGCCGGCATACTTTCATTAGTTGCTGAAATTAACCATATAGATGATGCATTAATGCAACTTCAAACTTTCCATAAACACTCAAGCGAGTAAACAAGTGCAAATAAAGAAACAAAACTTCTCCACAAACAATTGCGCAGAATATGATCGAATCGTGTTCATTGAAAAAAATGAAAATAAAAAAATCATTGGCCTCCGAATACTTGATAAATATTAACAGCAAATGTTTTACCGGCGTTGGGGAAGGTCCGAAATTCAGATTCAGCAGCCGAAGATTCAATTGTACGGTTAAAGAGTGTGGAAGCAGCGATCGGGAAGTGGAGATAGCTATAACCCTAATTATTCATGTCTTTTTTCGGGTTTTGTCTATGGGTCGGATGTTGCCCGAATTATATATCCCATGTAATTATTTTGTGTGTCTGATTTTTCAGTTTGAATTATTTAATACTAAAAAATAGAATTTAAATAGTAAATTAATGCTATATAAATACATATAATATTTATAAAATAAATTTGTAATATAATATAAAATTTTGAAAGTTGCTTAAAAAAAAGAAATTGTAACAAAACTTCAAACAAACAGAGACTAAGGGCGTTTTATTTTGAATTTTTTATGAATATATTTTTAATATTTATTCGATGAAAATGTCTATTTGTTTTTTTAATAATAAAAAATAAAAAAGAGATAAAAAAGGGTTGACAGGTAAAATGATATCTATTTATTTTTTAATAATAAAAAATGAAAAAAAGATAAGAACGAATTAACAGTTAAAATGATCCAGCGCAGAGATTCAAAATACAATGCAGAATAAGTTGGTAAAATCATTTTTATATTTTTATTCTTGCAAGCATAAATGAAAAAATATACTTATAAAAAAGTTAAAGAGTATTTTTTATATTTATATATTAATTAATTTTATTATAATAATAATAAAAAATAAGCAAGAAGCTAAATATAGTACTCTTTTCGTCCCATAATAAAGTATTTATTTTTCCATTTTAGTTCGTCCCATAAGTATCCATTTTTTAAAAGTAATTGTACTATTTACCTAATATTACAAATACCTTTACAACTTATAATATATTACACAAATAGCATTATCTTTATATCACACATACTAATAAGGTTATTTTAGTCATTTCTACTTTATTCCTACTATATCATAATATAATACTAATATTTCTAAAACTAAGTGTAAAAAACAAATGGATACTTAGTTTCGGGACAGATGAAGTAAACGAAATACATTATGGTGTGTTTTTTTGGAGGATTGAATTAGATTTCCACTATTCATTCAATTTTTTTCCCCAAAAATATCAAATCAAACACCTATTTTTCATTTTTATATTATACTAAAAATCAATTTTACATTCAAAATATCACATCATCATCTATTTATATCACATCATACAATTATTCAAATTCAAAATTTATACTATTCAAATTCAAAATTTTTACTATTCAAATTTGACGTGAATTTCAAAATTCAAAGCCCCAAACAAACTAACCCTTTGGAAGTAGTATTGTGTACAAAAATATATATATATAATTTATTTTTTTTGTATATAATTATTAATTATCATTAAAATTGATTGAATATATATTATATATTTTATTAATCTACATAAATATCAAATATTTTAATAATATTTGATCTAAAATTGTATACACAGTGGCCGCACGTGAACTCCCACAGCGGAGGCAAACAGCAATGGCTGTAGGTGCAACGAAAATGTTTGTGGGAAAAAAAGCTATGAAAGAAAATATATTTTCTTCGTCCCAGTACATTCGGTTTACTATTTTTGTCCGTCTCAAAATAATAGTCTCATTTTCATAAATAATCATATCACTGTAAAATTATTCTTACTTTTTCATTATTATTACAAAATTGCTATTACTTTTTACACTAATACACTAATAAATGGCAAAAAAATCTTTTACCCGTATTTTTTATCAACTACCAATATAATATCAATATTTCTTAAATTTTGTGCCAAACACAATCAGACTATAGTTTTGGAACGGAGGAAGTATATATTTTGTTTATGATTCAATATTCATATTTGCTATTTGTGTTCATTTTAAAATAGTAATTTTATTTTTTATAAATAATTATATTAACATATTTTTTTTTATTACTCCCTCCGTCCCATGTAATATGGGTATATTACTGTAGACACGAGAATTTAGGTAAAATATAATTAGTAAGTAATTAAAAAGTGTATTAATAAAAATAATTATTACTTAGTAAAAATAATTATAGATTAAGATTAAGATAATTAAATAGTTTAATTAAAATTTAAAAAATTATAAAATTTAAAATGCGATTAAAGTGCATAATTATATTTCCAAAAATAGAAAGAACAAGTTATATGGGACAGACGAAAATAAAAAATAGAGACAAATTATGTGGGACGAAAAGAGTATTACTTTATAAATATTGTTATACTTACACACTCGTAATAGCAATTTTATTTTTTTAAAGTCTAATCTTTCGTAGTACTCCATAAAATTACGATTTTATAGAAATTTATATCTATCAAAACCAAAAATAAAAAATAATTATAAATATGAACACTGGATTATTTATAAGTATTGTAAAAGTAATTATAATCATTTTATTTATTTATATAGGTTCAATTGTCTTATTTCTACCGTGTTCTCTTATCGAATTTTACTTAATTTTTAATATATTCATCAAATATATTTTTTTTAACAAAATAAATTAAATTTTTATTTTCTATATTAAATTAAAATTAATTTTACATTTAAAATATTATATTAATACTTATTTATATCACATTATATATTATTTAAATTCAATTTTCTTACTATTCATATCTTAAACTAAAATTCAAATTCTCAAACTAACAAATCTTAATAGATTTTATTTAATATTTTATTATTATTATTATTATTTAAATATACATAGTAAAAAGTACTTCCTTGGTACACAAAAATAGGCAGTCTACCTGTTCCTAAAAGGTTGTCATTTTTCATTTTTATTTCTTCTCCAAACAATGTTACTATTTTTTTAGTAATGTATTATCTGCTTAACTTAATAAATACCCTTCCAATTTACTATAAATATAGAAAACAGTTTAAAATATATAATTAAAATTTTAAAAATATATGTTTTTTAAAAAAGTAAAATTATAAATTAAAATAAAATAATGTCTACAATGCATTTGAAAATGACCTAGGCAAAAGTAATTGAACCTATTTATATAAATTTTTTGCCTGTATTTTTATTTACTTTTTTATTATTTTATTTAACATTAAAAATTATTTTTATACTTGTATAATTTTTATATTCTATTTTGCAGCGGTGGAAATAGTATATTAGAAAAAAAAGAAAAAAAAAGCTAAAATTGTATAAAATTCACCATGGTTTATAAAATTGAACCAAATTTCTTAAAACTGCACGAAACTTCGTCGTGGTTTCATAAACTTTGCGTCTAATCCCTCAATAGTTCTTTAAAAGTACGGAGGGGGTTAGACGTAAAGTTTATGAAACCACGACGAAATTTCCCGCAATTTTAAAAATACAAAAGATTTGGTTCAATTTTATAAACCACTGTGAATTTTATGCAATTTAGCCAAAAATAAACAGAGCATTAACTAGGGCAGAAGAAAACAGAACTTCGTATTTCCATTCAATACATACATACAAAGTCAGTGCATTTAAAACGACGCCGTTTATGCCGCCACGAATAGGAAAAAGGCATAGAAAAGAAGACCTCATTCAACGTTGCAATCGAACTGTTGGGTGGCCTATAATCGAATCGCCTCCGTCTTTTTCTTCTCGTCGATACAAACAAGGCAAGCCCTCTCCTCTCTCCGCCCACCTACATAACCTCTCTCCCTCTCCTCTCGCTTCGTTGGCGACTTCTCCAACGTTTTTCTTCTCCATTTATACTCCAGGATCTCCTCTTCATCTCTGCCTAGTTTAGTTTTTTGTTTTTTTTTTCTCGTTCAGTCAGTGTCTAATAGGATTTCGTGGCAATGGCGCAAGCGGCGGCGGGGAGGGTGAATCACGCTGCATTTGCGGCGAATATTGGCTCCGGATCCATGCAGAGCCGATCGGAGAGGCTGAGGCCTGGTTCTGGTTTTGAGGCGAAGGTGTTCGCGCTCACCGAGAAGAGAACGGGCCGAAGAGCTTCGCAGTTCAGCGCGCCGATCACGGCGAGGAGATCTAATCGTGTCGAGCCGCAGGTGGTTCCGGTCACGCCGGAAGACGCGCCAAAGGTTTCGATTCGGATACTGTTCTTTTGACTTTTTGTTTAATTCTGTTTGAGATTGCGTCTGCTTAGGTACATATTTCTTGTTTTGTTCTGAGCAATGGTTCGTTTACGTCTTTGTTTTGGCGTTTTAGGCATCTGGAGGGTTCTTGACAACTTCTTGCTCGGATTTTTTTTGTAACGATTTGATATTGCATTAGGCTGAGTGAGATTAGTGCTTGAAGCTTAATGCTGCTGGCAATAATGCGGCGATATATATCCTTGTTGTGGAGTGTATTGTTTATATAAATGATTTTCGTTTTGTGACTGCTAACTTATAAGTGTAAAGAAGTACAGATGGTCATGTAGCTGTTGCAAAAGTATAGAACAAACATCCAGTATAATCGTTTTAAGATATACATTGCCTTTATGCAAGCCAAGTTAACAGGATAATTACTTGTAGTGGTCAAGTATATGCATTCATCTCTTTCTACATTTTTCACAAGTTAAGGTGATTAAAATTTTCTTACATTTTTTGGAATAACAAAAAATTAGGTATAGCTGTGGTGCTTATGTGGTGTTTTGTGAGAAACAATAAGTAGTTTGATGTCATGATTTTTATTTTTTATTTTTATTTTGGAAAACGTTATTTTGATCAATAGTGACAATTTCCAAAAGTATGCATGTAAATTGAGCCTTGGTATATGTATAAAGTATTGTAGTGGTAACAAGTATGATTTCTGACACTCAATAACACAATCCCCTATTCTGATTCTTTGAGCAGGCAGAGGGGGAAAGCCAATATGTACAGGGGATTTCCAAACTTGGTGATGCATCAAATGGGGTGTGGTCTAAACCTGTAGTTAGGCGGAAGACAAAGATTGTTTGTACTATTGGTCCCTCGACCAACACCAAGGAAATGATATGGAAGCTGGCAGAGGCTGGAATGAATGTTGCCCGTCTTAATATGTCGCACGGAGATCATGCATCTCATAAAAAAGTTATTGACTTGGTTAAGGAATATAACGCTGAAGCGAAAGACAATGTCATTGCCATTATGCTTGATACCAAGGTGATTATTTTATTTGAGCATGTGTGCCTTTGTTACAACATCATTTAATTTAGTTTCTTTGTTGTTTGCATGATTAGAAATCTTAAGGCAATGTTATTGTAATTATGCTTGATGGAAAGACAACCCTTTTATAGCTTAAGGTAGTAGGGATCAAATGATGCTTATGGCAGCCTGAGTCAAGTTGATTTCATTTGTTGTATTTCACTAGATAATTGTTTTTTTATGTCATAACCCATATTGTTACCATTCATTTCCACTCTCTTGGTTTCTGGTTTGCAAATGGTATGAAGAAAAAAAAGAATAGGACCATAAACACATTCTTGTGATGCTTTCTTGGTTTATATACGTTCCTTATGCCTTGTCAAATCTGATTACAGGGCCCTGAAGTTAGGAGTGGTGACTTACCACAGCCGATTACATTGGTGCCTGGTCAGGAATTTACTTTCACAATTCGAAGGGGAGTTGGCACAGCTGATTGTGTCAGTGTCAACTATGACGATTTTGTTAATGATGTAGAAGATGGTGACATGCTTCTTGTTGATGGTATGGTGCTATTTATTACATTAATTGTTTTTGCTAACTTGCTTTCCCTGCGCTTGTATAATCAGCTTTCAGTATATATATTTTTTAAATGTATGTGTGATTTGTGCATTTCTTTTGTGTCTGATGCTGACAATAGGTCTCATTATGCAGGTGGAATGATGTCATTACAAGTAAAGTCAAAAACCAAAGATTCAGTGAAATGTGAAGTTGTTGATGGTGGAGAGCTTAAATCTCGACGGCATCTTAATGTTCGAGGGAAAAGCGCCACACTTCCATCTATAACTGGTTAGATATACCTTAACCTTTTCCAATGATTTGTCTCATGCTCAATAACAATCTTTGTTCACTTGTGTTTTTAACTGTATTTTTGCAATATGCAAACTACATAAATATTTATTTATTTTTATTTTTCTGTCTAAAAACATCATTTTCAAATATCACATCCAAATATCATTTTTCATGTAAAAAAATTCATATGCAAAACAGCAAAAACATTCCAAAGAAATCACTATGTTTTTGTTTGTGCTTGTTACTTTTAGTTGACCTGTAGTCCCTTTTCTCTTTTTCCTTGAGTGTGACACTGGGTATGGTTTTCTGGCACTGATTTATAACAGATAAGGACTGGGATGACATCAAATTTGGAGTTGATAACCAAGTTGACTTCTATGCTGTTTCATTTGTTAAGGATGCATCTGTGGTCCATGAACTGAAGAATTATCTTAAAGGTAGATCATAATTTTTTGGCATACAGTTGAATGTTGCTTAAACTGAATTGAACTTTTGGGTATTACATCTTTAACATTCTTTCAAATATTTTCCCTGCAGAGGCTGGTGCGGACATTCATGTCATTGTAAAGATTGAAAGTGCAGATTCAATACCAAATCTAGATTCAATTATAACTGCATCCGATGGGGTAAGAACACGGCTGTATCGTTTAACTGAAAGGGAACTGCTATCTAGCAAAATATATAGGGAATTGAGTTGATGCTTGTCAAAGTTGATCTTCATCTAGGTTATTGCAACTATTTAAACTGAAATATTGTTACTTTTCAATTTTTATTTTACAATGTAAAGTTACAGTTCTTGGGAAAGTAATATCCGAATCAAACTCTGGAAATGACATTTGTTAGGTCTATGATTTTCTCCAGCTTAAACAGTTACACCTTTCATGATTCATTTCTGTTTTTTCCTACTAATTTCATGAATATAAAGCTAATATTGCTAGAAAAATTGAATGTTCTCTCTCCTTAGGCTATGGTTGCAAGAGGGGATCTTGGTGCCGAGTTACCAATAGAAGAGGTGCCTTTATTGCAGGTAATAAATTCCAAAGGAAATATTTGCCTTCTTTTTTTTTTTTTTGCTACCACTAGTCTAGGTTACATAAACTAAGATAGCTGGATTTTGCCATACTGGTTGCTTTATCACAACATTAACTTTCTATCAATGCAGGAAGAAATTATCAGATTATGTCGCGGTATGGGAAAGGCAGTAATAGTGGCAACGAACATGCTTGAAAGCATGATAGTGCATCCCACTCCCACCCGAGCAGAGGTGTCGGATATTGCTATTGCTGTGAAAGAAGGGGCTGATGCAGTTATGCTTTCCGGAGAAACTGCTCATGGGAAGTAAGTAACCTGACCTTTAGTTTTGTAATAGGGAAAAATGATTTCTACATATAGTTATAATAAATCACATGCATGATTGTATTGATTTTGCGTCGATTCCCTTTTAGGTTTCCACTGAAAGCAGTCAAGGTCATGCACACAGTCTCTTTGCGAATGGAAGCTACATTACCTGGCATACAGGCTCCGGCAAATCTCGGTGAATCCTTCAAGGTCGGTGTAACCCTCGGTGACGTTCTAGTAGCTAACTTGCATATTATATATATGCAATTGAATTCATTGATGATGTTATTTACCGAAACTTTTTAATAGAATCACATGAGCGAAATGTTTGCATTCCACGCAACGATGATGGCCAATACCCTTGGAACTTCTATTGTTGTCTTCACTCGAACTGGATACATGGCGATTCTACTGAGCCATTTTAGACCATCTGGCACAATCTTTGCTTTCACAAATGAGTGAGTAACATGAATTTTACATTACCGATAGTCTTTTGTTCTTTGAGAAGAGTCGGTTCCAATGAATTGAGGAAATGGTTCATTTGCCTATCCTGTCTTAATCATTACTCGATTACTTGTTCAACAGTAAACGTATACGACAAAGGTTGGCATTGTACCAAGGCGTTTGCCCCATACACATGGAGTTCTCTGCCGATGCTGAGGAGGCATTTTCCAAAGCACTGGCATTGTTACAGGTAAAAACTTCTTCTACGCATAGCTTTTGACATCTTATTTTATGCCCTAAAACTTCGCCAACACCATAACTTTCTTACAACATGGACACTTAATCTGGTACGTTTGGCGATTCAATTTTATAGGGGCAAGGGATGGTGAAAGAGGGCGAGCAGGTAGCGCTTGTTCAAAGCGGCAGGCAGCCGATCTGGCGATCTCAGTCCACGCATAACATTCAGGTCAGGCAAGTATAGATTCGAAACAAGGACACAAAATAAATTTAAGAAAAAGAAAAGAAGAAGCAATCTACACTTGCCGCCACATTTTTGCATGTTTTCAGTTTTTTCCACTTAGGTGTGAACATACATGCCTTCGTGAAGTGAAGCAAACCTTGATTGATTTATGTTATTCTCTTTTATCATTGTAATGAATTATTGAATTTGTTAGTCGAATTGAAATACTTGGAGTATCTTATTATCATTTGTCACTCATTCCCTTTCTTTTTTTAGGTAATCTGTAGTCTGTGCTGAGCAAAGTTATTTAGGAGTTTTAGATATGTATGTTTACTCTTGAAATTATGATATGATATGTTATTTAAAATGCTAATTAATTAATAGGTAAAGTCTATTTATTTTGGGCCTGCAGCTGCTGCCACTAATTTATTGTTGGGGTTATCGATGTGTCCACATTATTTATGGTTTTACTCCCATTTTTATAGTAATTTTTCTTATTTTTATTCATATTTTTTTTTCAAAATATTATGTCTGAGTGAAATAATTGTTATATATATAAAAAATGATTATATTTTTATAAGAAATGTTCATTTATTACACTCATATACTAGTATTTTACAACATATATTATTTTCAAAATGTAGAAGATCACTTTTGAACCCATAATTTTAGTCCATCCCCGCGCCGCGCTAGCGTTATATTAGTTTGAGTGATTAAAAGAAGTGGGTTTGGATATGAATATTTTTAAATAAAATGAATGAGAATATAAAGTATTTAACCATATTTTGTATATACATATTCAAACACAACAACTATACATACAAACGCAAAACAAATAAACATAAAAAACAGTAAACAAAACAAAACAGATGATCCAAAGCACAATCAAACAAACACATCGCAGTGTTTATTTATTTATGTCAGCAGTAGTCATTTCCTAATTGGATTGTATATTTTGTACGTTCCACTACCAAACAGTCAAACTTTAAAAAAAATTAAAAAAAAATCCAATTATCCAATGAGACAAATCTTTTTTCCACAATTTCGTTTTGTTTTAAAAAAACTACAAGATACATGCCATAATTGGTTCTCGAAATTGAAATAATAGAAAATCCAAACAAACAGTCCCTAACGGAAATTCATAACCGCTTTCAACCGCACATCACACGCTGCTTACAATGGCGGTGCTGTATCCACTCTGATCGTCCCAAAACTTCGACCACAGCATCACCCCGCCGTACCTCCTCGACTTCCGGATCACCGGAAGGATCTCCGTCGTCAGCACATCCGCCGGAATAAATCCGCTTCCTGCTGCCTGCGGCGCCGCCGGAAGTCCGAGGAATATCTTCCTCGCCCTCACGGAACTCGTCCAAACCGTCCACGAATTTATCAAATTCGCGGTGTTGTTCGGAGTGTACTGGCATGGCGGATTGTTGTAGAATTGAATCCAGACGAAGTCGAAGAGAGTTGTGTTCAGCGCCGCGCCTAACAACCGGTCGGGGAAAGGACATTGAGGCGCGCCGGAGACGTACACGTGTCTCGTCCGGCGGTGAGATTTGAGGAATCTCACGAGATCTGTGTAGTAGAGAGAGGATCCGAGCTCGATATCGAGGTCGACGCCGTCGAGGACGGCGTCTCCGAGCGGACGCGAGGCGGAGCGGCCGCCGAGGAAATTTTTCCATAAGTAATTCGATAGATTCCGAGCGTCCTGGCGAGAGGTGAGGCTGTAGTTACCGACGCCTCCGCCGAGGGAGATCAACACTTTTACTCCTCGCCGTTGACAGGCGCGGATTTGATCGCTGAGAATGCGGCAGGATCCGGTGGCTGGATTGCAGTGACCGGCGAGGTTGAGTTCGGGGGTTTGGAAGCTTCCAAAATTGACGATGAAGGCGATGTTGACGTAGCGAAACCTTCCGGTGGCGCAGGTTTCGTTGAGAGTGCCTTCGTTGCCGTTTTGCCCCCAGTAGACGGAAATTGCGCCGGAGGCGCGGCGGCCGGCGACGGCGGAGAAAAGGAATGCTTGAACGAAGAAGAGTACGGCTAAAGCTATGGGTAACTTGGAAATAGTTTCCATCTTTGTTTACGATTTTATTCTGTTAGTAATTTCACCTATTTATAGAAGAAAGGCCATAATAATAATAGTAAGTTTGAATGCGACAAAGAATCCCATGTGGATTTTGGAACCACATGGAAAATAAAAAATAAATTGTATTTTAGCAGCATGATCTTCCATCTAAAAAATAAACACAATCTCTATTTTTCCTATTATTATTGTTATTTATGACATGGGATCTGTCCACCGCTGTCCGAAAATGCTCCTCTAGATAAATTTTTGATTGAACCTAATATCTAAAAACTAGGCTCGACACACTATTCTCATATCTTTACACATATAATGTATATATATACACACCGAAGATAGGGTGTGTGTTAATAAAACGAATGATCCTGTTAGTAATTTAGTGTTTACTTACTTGTATTTGTATTTTTTACAGTAAATTATTTTTGATAAATTAAAAATATTATACCATGTAAAATATGTTTTTTATTTAAAATTTAGAAAAGTTAAGATTTAAAACACTCCAAGACACATCTCTTGTTGCTAATTATTACAATGAATGTAACGAACAAACTTAACGGACTTATTATTATTTTGTAAGAATTTTATACTCTCTTTGCTCTCATGAATTATTCATTTGACTATTCTCTTTTTAGTAGTAAAATATTCTTAATAAATTACAAATATACAATTATTTAGTAACAATCCTACTATTATATCTAAAACTTATTTTAGCCATACATTTAGATATTTAAAAGAAATTAAATGAATACATATGAAATTGATGCGTAATTATTTTTTATTTATTCTGTTATTATAGTATTATCTATTTATCTTAGAGAAAGCAAAACCAAAGAACACAAACACTAGTGTAATTATATGTAATTATTATTATTTTACAAAATATTAAATTTAACGATTATATAATACCTGAAATTTACAAAACAAAAAAATTCAATAAATTATGAGTGAAAAGTAAAACGAAGGTTAGTGCACGTTAGTGGGCATAATTGGATTCCAAATGTCGAGAAGTGGAGGATTTGAAGTCAACTATATGCAAATAATGAAGGTAAAATAGTCGTCTTACGACTGTCCTAAATCATGTATAATACAGTTGACTAAATCAAACCTTCGGTGGAGTTGACCTAGTCCCCATGCAGCCATGCTTTAGTAGTAATTTAAATATTCTATTAATCAAACCTCAAAACAAGAGCCCATATCCGTCTCTATAAATAATGGACCACCCACTAATTTAGGCCCATTTAAAAGGCCCATATCAATACCCAGCCCATTATTTTTTACCAATGTTCTATTCCAGACAAAATCAAAATCAGTGAAAAATCGATAGATAGATCAGGCAATATTGGAGAGTCTTCAGTTCAGTTCTCGTCGTCGTCGTCGATCTCAATCGAATCCATAGGTAATAAAGCAACGTTGATCGGCTCTCCGGCGAATGGAGTACGATTTCACTAAACGCTCCGGTTCCGGAATGCCGCCGTACGGCAGAGTTACATCGGCGGATTCCACTCCCAATTATGGTCAACCTCCGTCGCTCTACCCCAGGGTCGGCGTCACCGCCTCTCATTCCGCCGCCGCGGCGCACTCCAGAAATCCTCCGCTCCACCACGCTCCTCCCCCACCGTCAAACTGTGAGCAATTTTCTCTCTGTAACCTCCTCAGCGTAGTTTAATTTTGGGAATTTTGTATTATCATTTTACCCTTTTTTTTGGTTTACATAGCATCTGGCGTGGGAATTAGGGTTTCGATCAAACCGGAGTATCGGATAAGCGCACCGGTGTGTTTTTTTCCCTTGATCAACCAATTGAATGGATAAGAATTTTTGAAAATTTCAATTGTTGATTCACTGATTTGCGTTGCTGTAATGTAGCCTCCATTGTTGCCACAATTGGGAGAGATTCCTCGAAGTAATTTCCATTTCGATTTCGAGTTCGAGAGGAATGTTCTAGCGGAAGCAGTAAAGGAGAATCCAAACTGGAGCAAGCTAGGGATTGACAATCTTCCCCCAAAGGCAACTGAAACATCTTCATCTTCTCATGTATGCACTTCATCTGCAACATTTTTCATTAGTTAACTATACTGATCATTGTATCTGTTTTGGAATTGGAATCTAATTCAATTCACCCTTCCATTGATTTCTTCCATGTTCGACCAGATGTTTGTCCTGTGCCATCTGCACTAACCTCCTTGCATTTGAGTTGAACTAATAGATACCTGATCATGCCTATGTTTGATCCTGTAATTAGGGTTCTTCAACAGATCCTGTGGTGAGCAAATATATAGCTGCAGGTCTCAGCAGAGAGGCAGTTCCACTTGCAGTTGCTAATTACGGAGACAATCCCACCAAGGCAGTATCAGATTTCTCATCTTTTATCCATTCAATGAAATGAAAATGAAATTTGTCTCTTGGATGGATGCTCTGTGGTGAATTTTGTTTTTAACATTCTGAAGGCTACTTTGATTGTCTTCTTCAGGTTAAGGAGTTCGCCAATGGATATGCACTTCTACGCGAAATGGGTTTCTCGTCAGACAAAGTTGTCGAAGCCCTGATGATGTATGACAACGATACAGAGAAGGCGTTGGCCTATTTCCTCAATGGCTCATCTTGAGATGGATGTCACCATTGGTAGGTGCACTTGTGGGTGTATTGCTATCAAGTGTAATGAGCATGATTCACGATTACAGTGTCAAGAATTTGCAGAAACTTTTTTTATTATCTGTGTTCTTTTGTTCTTTTGGTGTTTTTTCTTTTTCAGTGACATAGATAGTCTCATAACTTTGAGGCTTTTCTGAATTTCGAAAATTTGAATATAGTAAGAAGGTTAGAAATTGATATGATTTTTTTTGTGAGTGAAAGAGATGTTTAATGTGATGTTCTTTTTTTGTGTGTGTTAATATATATACATATATTTTGTTGGTTTTGAAATAGTTTGCAGAAAAAAATAACATAAGTTTATTATATTAAAAAATACTATGAAAAATTGAAAGCAAGCATATGCATAATGTCTGTTGTTTGGATTTTGAAGTATTTCATATGGTATTAGTAGTTTTTAATAAAAAAAAAAAAATTAGTGTCAGATTTAATAGTGTACTTAAATAGAATTGTGAAAATTTTGGAAAGTAAAATTTTATTGAAAATTATGGTTAAAAGAATAAATCCAGATATAGATGTTACAGCACAAATTACCTGTTACATTAATCTTATAATTGCATTTATTGCACGCGCAGATTGTTTGCATGTCTTTTTTTTTTTTGAAAAAAAAAAGTTAAATAAAAATGTAATCTTAATGATATTAGAAATATATAATTAAAATTTTTATAGTAATATTTAAATCGCCACAATAAAATGTGTTATAGTAACAAATATTTATGCACATAACGTCCACTGCTGTTTGCTGACAGGACAATTAATTCAAATCAATTCAAAACTCAAACAAATAAAAAGTAACAACAATAATAGCCATGAACACCTTCCGTTCTACGTGCACCACGACAAAATTGACTCTAATTCAATTCTCTGCAATTTCGGAAGCAATCTGAGCGTTCATCTTCACCATTCTCGACTGATTCGCGGCAATCTCGATCGAATCCTGAAGGAAATTTATCAGTCGGAGTCAGTACTCGCAATACATATACATTTACTGCATTTTACGTGTTGTTTTGGTACCATTCCATTAACAGTTCGTCTACCTGATGCTTTAATCCTCTGTTTATTTGAGTCGCGAGTCACTCGTCGTCGTTATAATTCGAATCGGTGCGTGCTGTTTGTTGATTTGAGTTCGTTCAATAATCAACAGTTTATGCATATCTGAAGGCGTATGTGTGGGGAGACTTCTGGTTGTGAATCTGTAACTGCCGTTTCTTATTTTGGTTCTTTCAGAATTCTCTGCTGGAGGTTGAAACTTCGTCATCTCTGCAATCACAGGTTAGTGATTCGCGCGTTTCTTCTGATATATATGTATAGATATATATATGTACATATGTATTTCGTTGAAAATTCGTACAGTTTGGAGTTTAGTGATTAGATCGTTGCACACGAAATTCCATTTTGTCTACTTTGAAATGATGAATATTCCAAATTCTGCCTAACACACACACACATATAGCCGAGAGTTGAGTAAGAACAGTGTAAGAGTCATTGAAGGTGGGAAAAACACACATACTCATTATATAATATATATATATATATATTCGTCTTCGCCATTTATAAAATTCTCTGACGGCTGCAACATAATCCTCAGTTTATTGGCTATGGTTGTTGACCTACAATTTAATAGAAATATTTTATCCCCAATTAACGATGGTTGTTGATTTGCTAACAGCTATTATAGCCAGAGCTTCAGGTTTTGACAAAAACTAGCAAACACCAAAAATGGCAATCAAGTTCATCTTCTTAGCATCATCATCCCTGTTGCACGGACTGCTGCTCTATTCCTTCTCAATAGCAGCTGAGCCTCTTCAGGACAAGGACACTCTGCTCGATTTCATCGCCAACATCGATCATTCCCCGGAACTGATCAATTGGGACAGAAACATCTCAGCTTGTGGCGGAGGATGGACAGCGGTGACATGCAATGATGATGGTTCGAGTATCGCCGCGGTTCAGCTCCCCAACGCAGGGCTCAGTGGCATCATCCCTACCGACACTCTCTCCCGGTTATCTGCTCTTCAAATATTGAGCCTGAAGTTTAACAACATCAGTGGCAATTTCCCCTCTGATCTTCTGAAGCTGAAGAATCTGACAGCTCTTCAACTAGAGTTCAACAATTTTAATGGTCCATTGCCTCTGGACTTTACAGGGTGGGAAAATTTGGAAACATTGAACCTGTCGAGCAATGGCTTCAATGGCAGCATCCCTCCATCTCTCTCCCAACTGTCTCATTTAACTGCTCTGGATATTTCAAACAACTCACTTTCCGGCGAAGTTCCTGATCTCGGCATCGCTAGTCTGAAACAGCTAAATTTGTCGAACAATGATCTTGTTGGATCAGTGCCTCCATCTCTCCTTCGATTCCCTAAGTCTGCCTTTGCAAGTAACAATATGCTCAAATTTCATAAACTTCCCATTGTGGGAATTGCTGTTGGTTGTTCCGCAGCAGTAGCAGTATTTGTTGCATTGGTGTTGATCTTTATCAGAAGGAAGAAAACTTCGAACTCTAATGCTCCCATACTTCCATCATCACGGCGAAAAGCTACAGCAATGATGACGAGTTCAGGCGTGTCGAATCATTGCAGCAGCATGATATTTTTCGAGGGATGCAATCTTGCATTCGACCTCGAAGATCTGCTGAGGGCGTCTGCGGAGGTTCTTGGCAAGGGGAGCTTCGGGATGACGTACAGGGCAGTGTTGGAGGACGCAAGCGCAGTTGCAGTCAAGCGTCTGAAGGACGTTCTTATCGGCGGAAAAGAATTCAAACAGCAGATGGAAGTAGTCGGAAACATCCATCACGACAACATCGCTCCATTGAGAGCTTATTACTATTCCAAGGATGAAAAGCTGATGGTTTACGATTTCTACTGGCGAGGGAGCTTGTCGGCATTACTGCACAACATGCAGCAGAGGGTGCCTTTGAGCTGGGAAGCAAGGTTAAAGCTCGCGATAGGGGCAGCAAGAGGGATTGCTCATATCCATTCACAGGGAGGTGGGAAGCTCATTCATGGGAACATAAAAGCTTCGAATATTTTCCTCAACAGCCAAGACTACGGCTGCATAGGTGATCTCGGGTTGGCAACATTGATGAGTCCTATGGGATCATCGGTGCTGCAGAGTGCAGGATATTGTGCGCCGGAGATCGCGAGTACTGGGAGGTTGTCGCAAGAGGGAGATGTGTACGGCTTTGGAATTGTACTGCTGGAAATTCTAACAGGAAAGTCACCTGCTATAACTTCAGGCAGGAGAAAGGAAGGGATGCACTTGGTGAAATGGGTTGAGGCTGTCGTGCACGAGGAGTGGACGGGCGAGGTGTTCGACCCGGAGCTTATGATGATGTATGTTGATGTGGATGAAGAAATGGTGGCTATGTTGCAGGTGGGGTTGAGCTGCGTGGCGGGAGCGCCCGAGCAGCGGCCGAAGATTGGGGAGGTGTTGAAAATGGTGGAGGGCATTAGATCATTTTGATCCTCCTTGTGGCTCTAGAGGCAGATAGAGAGACCTATTTCTTGCATTGTTAGTTTTTGTTTGGTTTGGTGAAGTTAGTAGCTGATTGAATGGTGATTCCTGGAGCTATCCTTACTGTTCTCATTTGTGATATTGATCTTGGAGAGGTTGGAGGTTGGGAAGCTGACAGGTAACCTACCCGACTAATTTGATTGAATTGAGGTAGAGTCAGATGTCAAGTAGAATTAATATATATATATATATATGTATACATATTCTTCCTGCCTGCCACTGATGTTCCAAGAATACCAGCATCAGGGGAGGGGTCTTCTACATTTTATTTTTTTTCTTTTAATTCTGGTTCCATCCATGGCTGATGGATGATCTGCTCACCCCCTCAATTGCTAAATTCATCTTTCATGTAATAAAAGAATCTACTTTGCCTGGACTTGATGAGTTGTTATCTCAAATGGTGATGAGTATTAGTTATGGAGATATGTATTGAATTCTAACAATATCAGATTAGGCTCTTGGAGTTGGAGATTCATTGCATAGGAGTCTAACAAGAAATCTACTGCTACAAGTTGAGTATACCTTTTGTGTTCTTAAATAATACTCATTGTGTGCCTTTTGTAGTTTGACCATATAATGTGTTTAATATCTACAGCTGACAAGTGACACAAGAGAATGCAAAGAATTCAAATAATTCAACATGCTTTGGTACATGTCAATGGTGAAGGGACCACTCTCTTTATCATCCACCAAATCTGTCCCCATCGCACTATTGGATTTGGAAAGGCCATCAAACTCTGGCTTATCAAGATCCACAAAAAAAACTACTAGAATTTTGTCACCTGGTCATTTTCTAACCGGTTTACTTTTCGACAGGTTTGATCGCAAAGATGGTTAGGAACTACGATAACTGGGAGAGGCTGGTGGAAGCCGTGATGCACAGGGAGCAGTTTCGGCAGCTTAGCTTATGTGATTCATTAAGCTCCTCCACCTCCAGCATCTTGTCCAGGGATTCGAGTTTTAGTATTAGTTCAAATATTCTATATGACACAGGTTCTTTCGGGCTAATTCCTCCTCCTTTACTCCCCGGTATGGATCGAAGGGAGCAGATTGGAAGGAGAAAGATGCACCCAAAGAGAAGAAATCCTATATGGAAAGCTATGTCAATCTTTGTAAGAGTAATTAGGATGATCTCTTTAATTTCCTCAAGGCAAAAACATCACTGGTTCTTTTCATTTATTTGGTATAGAGAGGTTTCTCGTTGTTGAAGGGGAATCGAAGAGATGAAAGGGAGCTATGGGAGGCTCAGAGAACACTAGAAAATACCAGGCAGAGGTTTGGAGAAGTTTCGGAGACAGACGTGGCGGAGACAAGAACTGAGACAGAAAGGTTTGTATACATACATAGGCTTGGATGAGGTAATGGTTTTTTTGACCAAGTTGGGACACAATAATCTTTTATTCTGTTTGTTGTTGTTGCTCTAGGCTTCAAAAACTGCACACTCTCAAGGGACATATTGAATCAGTTCTTAGAGCAAAAGGCATCGACTTAGATTCGATTCCTCGTCACTACACCATTTGAAATAAGATGGAGATCTATCCACAAGGTGGAGTTTCAGGACACAACAGAGAAACATTAAGACAAGGTTATTTACTAAGGACGAATGGTTGTCGATGTGGTCTCTCTTTTTGGGATGTTTGTCGATGTGGTCTCTCTTTTTGGGATGTTTCTAACAGAAATTTGCTCTTTCGAAGAGTCTGCCGACAAGTTTATGTTGACAAAACACATCTATCTACTACAGCCACAGGTAAAAGAAGTGGATAAAGTTTGGACAAATACTTACAGGCTGAAGACAAAAGATCAGGAAATATAATGACACAGTCGGGCTTTTGATGTTGAGACAACAAACTATTTTAAACCGGGCTAGCTTTCTGGGGCACGGTTAGAGTGCTGATTTAGCCCTAATTAGCACATGTGCGACTATTTGTCGAACGCATGGCTTGAATTGAATTAAATTCATACCATATATCTATTTTGTGTTAGTATATAACCTGTGTTAATTCATATCGTGATAGAAAAGTTGCTCGAGACATGCTTATAAGCACATTTTTTTCACTGCAAAATAAGATAAAATAAAAAGGTACAACGATAGAAATCAATAGCAAGATACGATTCAGAAAAAATCTAAATAGTCTGTCGATAACTTAAATCGATACATAAACAAGAAAATATTGCATCTGCTTTTGAACTTTCTGTATGAGAAAACAGAAGTTCATCGCAGAGTAGTAAAATCGCCATATCCACAATGAGACAACTCTAACTCGAATGTGAAAAATGGCATTGGATGGACAAGTTCTTCCGATGAAGTAAACTAACACCAGCTCATTTCTTCACCACTCTCATTTTAATGCCACCTAATTTAGCAAACAAAGATAAGTTAAAATGCTCGTATACTCACAAAGAAAGAGCCAATGTTCATACAAAAATGAACCAACCTTCTACTTCCTCAAACTGAACTTCCTTCACGATTTCAGCCGCTGCGTTGTACTCAAAGCTGTAGATATTAGACATCCCGTTAATAAAAGTGGATCACTGGTCTCTTGTTTGGATTTAGTTGAGCATTTTAACAAAATTTATTTCTCCATCAAACCTATGTTTATACATATATGTTATAGGCACCCTACTTCCCACGACAGCAATAAAGTATTCAATCCAAGTCCAACAATCTATCGAGCCAAAAGACAAGACTCTTTTTTTTTTTTTTTTGCCCTATTCATAACACGGCACAAGCTCAATGAAACACACAATGCAATAGGATGGCGTTATTGAGCAGACAGACAAAGTGGGTTTTTCTTACTATCCAAGAAGCAAAACTCAGACAGACGATCTTAGTGGACTCTCAGGCAATAAGAGGTTGGAACATATTGAATCCCTTAAATATGAAGAACCGAATATGAATATGAATAGAAATATGCAATTTGACATGAAGAGTATCTTGAACTTTAAAATAGGCCAAGAAAGTGTGCATAATATTACCTGTCAGATCGAGACACCTCAAGCTCATAGTCAGATGCACTTTTCGTAGCATCCACTAAGACCGTCGCTATTTCAGTCTTCCTAGTACTTGCCATCAGTAAATCATATTCAGTGGGAATAATAATCGCAAAAAAATTATCCTTTAGTTTACTTAAACAAAGCTTCTCAACAGCTGCCAAAGCTATCCTTCTTCTTAGAGAGTCAGTTTCCGGGTCCACGATATACAGCGCAAAATCAGTAATTAGAAGTAGTCGCCTCTTCAACTTCCCAGAGCAAGTATACTTCAAAACTTTATCAGCAAAAAGAATCTTTTTGTCACCTGAAAGGTGAGTATAACACTTATCAATGGGAAATTGTAAAAATATGCAGCCTAAGAGAGCATACATTGCAAGAATAATAAACTTAATAAAAAACACATGCATTGATGAAAAAAAAATTAAAAATTATATCTTCGATGAGTGTATAGTTTAGACTCCATTAGACTAGCAGCATATATATACATCTAATAACTTTTTAGATAGACACTTTTGAACTTTGCGTTCAAATACTTTTTGTTTATCTTACAAAACATAGCATCATACGATTTTTTATTATTCTCCAAAATTTTCAAAACTCCGAATTTTCCAAAAGGAAGCCCTAGTTCATTATTCTTTTCTTTTGTAGTCCAGCAAATACATAATCATGGCTCTGGTTCCCAGAATTCATCTGCATTCCAACAATTAATGATTCCTTGCCTCCAATTTTTGAAATTGGGCATGGATTCCAATTAAGAACAATTCTCATCACTCTATACAAGATCCAGCCGCTGTGATTAACAAAGGATGTTTAATTGATAGTATGCTTCTAGATATGCTATCAGCTAATTCACCAAAAATAAAATAAAATCCAACCGATTTAACCACCAACAAATCTCTGGCAAAATCAATGGAAAATTCCTCAATATGAATTTCTATATGTATATATGGAAAAACTCATGAACCGAAGGAAATCCAAAGGTTAACATTCGGAAACCGAAATCTATACATAATTCAACCAGAACAGTACAGACGAAGAAATACCTTGCTTCTCGAGGATCTTCCTAATATAAGGTCTGGATTGCACGCCGATGTAGTCGCCGTTGTCTGCCTCTTGGGGAGAAACCTCCCGAGGCGAATTACCCTCCTTCGACTGCTCTTGATCCTCCGTCACCGAATTCAACTGCTCCTGATCCTCCGCAACTGAATTCAACGGCTCTTGATCCTCCGTCGCCGAATTCAATTGCTCTTGATCCTCCGCCGCATTGCTGTTAGATGACTGCAGTTTCGAATCGGTCGTTCCATCCGAAGCGCGGTCATCTACGGGGGGCTTGAGATCGGGCTTGGCCGGCTCGACTTGGACACGGCGGCTGAAGAAACGTGACATCTGGAAAACGCGGAGCGATTAGACGGCGGAGATGCGGTGGCGACGGAGTCGGAAGCCGTCTGACCGTTGGATTCCAATTGGTGGGTTTTAATAACGTAAAAGTCGCGTGTCCGTTTTCACACGATTAATAATCTTTTATGTTAATTTTGTAGTAACGATTTATTATTCAAGAAAATATTCATTTAAATTATATTTATATAATCTTTTAAAAACAATATAGTATTTTTTTAATACATTTTATTTGTGAAATTTGTGCTAAAATAAAAACCATATGAGTTATTGTTTTAAATATGTTAAAAATAATAAAATATACTTTAATAATTAAAAACATTCAAAAAAATATTGACACTAAAAGAATATAATCTCTTTCTTTCCATCTTAATGTTAATGTAACTACAATTAATAATGATCATAATTACTGAAATTAAAACAAATGTAATAAAATAATTAATGAACATCCGAGAGGGTATATACTAGCCGTTAATAATTTCAGGGAATTCGAGATGCCCTATATATATATACAGATTTCTTTTTCTTTTTCTTTTACTTATTAATTTTTTTTTTCAACGTGCAAAATATTTTCTCTGCAAATTTCGTACCAACGAAGGCGATCAACGGAACTTTCCTCTGGAATTCCACAGACAGGAGGATCCAATCTTTCTCTCAGGTATCAATTTGGGGAAATTTCAACCCAATTAACCTTCTCATTCCTTCCGCGTGTCTGAGTGGATTTGGGGGAAGACGGATTTAGGTTGTGTTTTTTTTTTTTGGATGATAGGAATCGCTGATGGCTTCAAAGCGGATCTTGAAGGAGCTCAAGGATCTCGAGAAGGATCCTCCTACCTCTTGCAGTGCTGGTGTGTTTCTGTACAGCCATTCGTGAAAATGAATATACCAAGGCGTCTGTTTTCTGTTTGTTTTTTGGACATTTTGTTTGGTTGTTACCTATTGGTATGTTGTTGGCTTTTAATCTTGTGTTTGTAGCTTTATAATGTAATTTTTAGGTTATATGATTATTTCGGAAACTTGCTTTACCTCCATGGGAGATGATAGATTAAATTGGTTTTTACAGGTAAGTTCAAATGGTCGAGTAAAAGCCTGATTTATCTGTAGTATGTCTTGGTTACACTCTGTTCAGACTTCTAGGCTTCCAGAGCTTTCATTTTATTTTTGGATCATTATGCATTTGGTTCTGAGAATTGTATTTTGGTAAACAAAAGTTGCTTATGAATGGATGCCTCTGTTGATGTTGAGATTCTGGTTTTTGTTCGTCATCAAATCCTTCACTGCTATCTGTGCAATGATCAATCTGTTTTTGAATGTTTGATTATTGTTTTCAGAAAGACTGATAGTAACTTGATTGGCTCATTTGTGTCTTCATTTCACCATTCATTTGGACATGCTGATAATAAGTTTTTTTGTCTTTGTTTGGATGATTGTTTTCAGGTCCTGTTGGTGAGGACATGTTTCATTGGCAAGCAACAATCATGGGTCCTCCGGATAGTCCCTACACCGGTGGAGTTTTCCTTGTTACCATTCATTTTCCTCCGGATTACCCATTCAAACCTCCTAAGGTAAATCAATCACACATAATTGATCTCACCCATTCTTATGTTTTGCCCTGCCCTGCCCTGCCCTTTAATCAGTTGTGTTTGTGATTTTGTTATCACTCTCAGAATTACTTTTTACAGAGTCTCTGCTGAATTTCAACCTTATTCATGTAATATATCTTCAGGTTGCTTTCAGGACAAAAGTATTCCATCCTAATATCAACAGCAACGGAAGCATATGCCTCGACATATTGAAGGAGCAATGGAGCCCTGCACTAACAATTTCTAAGGTAACCCAACCAACCCTTCCAGCAGAATTCGATCTCTCTCGATTTGCTTATAATATTCACTGTTGTTTACCACATTTGATTTGATGTTCTTGACGACTTTTAATTCTATACTTTTGTTAAGGTCTTGCTTTCCATTTGTTCGCTATTGACGGACCCCAACCCCGATGACCCTTTGGTGCCCGAAATTGCGCATATGTATAAAACCGACCGGGCAAAGTATGAGGCCACAGCAACAAGTTGGACTCAGAAATTCGCCATGGGGTAACCAACGTTCTGGTATGGATGACACAAATTCATCCTCTTCTTACCTTGAAAAACTATATTTTTTACATTTTTATGTATGAAATTGTCTGATTGATCTGTGAAAACATACATCTTTGGCTTTGTGTCTGAAGAAAAATGGCAGGCACATGCTGATTCAAAATGTTTGTATGTAATTGATCCACCATGTATATTATCATTATTATTTTTATTATTATCTATTATATTTACTTTCGAATACTATTTATCTATTATATTTTTAGTCATTCCAATTAATACAATCTTACATTATCTATCACGTATAAATATGATGTATAGATAATTGTCTAAAACAGTGTAGGTATATATATTTTGCTAATGTAGAAGGGTTGTGTTTCTTTATTTTTTTACTATTAGTAAGGCCATCAACAACACAGAAACCCATCCAAGGTTTCTTCCCATTCTCTCTCCTGTGCCACGTCAGTTTCTCCATCCGCCACGTCACGAAGAACTCCAACTATATTTTACATTCACATCAAAGAACCCTTTAAATTTATGAATATTTTTATGTATTTTTATTTATTATTTGTATTGCATGTAATTTTAATTAAACAAATGTTATAATTGAATTAATAGATATTTAATTAAATATTTTACAAAAATATGCATTAAAAAGTTACATAAAATATAAAAATATTATATTAAAAATTATAATTATTAACAATATTATTTTAATAAAAAAATAAATATTAAATAAAACTCATATAATAAAATTTAAATCTAATATTTTAATAAAACAAATTATTATAAATATAAATAAAAAAGTATATATTATAAATATTATTTTTAATATTTATTGAATAAAAAAGTGGACCATGGCCCACAAAAATTGGAAGAAACGGTACACTCGCAATGTACCGTTTCTTATGTTAATTGGTGTTTTAATTTTTTTTTATTTAATAAATAATTACGTGGGAGGCGCTTCTCAACAAGCGTCTCCCGTTGTGGATGCCCTAATGTTTCTAAAAAATATACATATATATATATATATATATTTTAATTATCGAATTAATTATTATTTAAATTAAAAATTGAAATCTTCAGTTAAATTTAGACCGAAAAGAAATGTCTAAGGAGGTATTTTAACCTATGTATGATTTCTGGTACTTACAACTTTGAGGTGACATTCGTTTTTGTTTGTTGATGTGATTTGAGTGATTATTATTATTATTATTATTATTATTATTATTATTATGTGAAAGCGATGGTTGCAATTGAATATTCGAATGCTCCAAACCACCACCTTGATTAATGCATAATTTGCTCATTTCCTCACCAGGATTAAATTGACTAAGTCCTAACAAATGTCAAACTATTTAACTTGTCTTTACATATATTTGAGTTTAACAGAATCAATTAATACTAAAAATATAGTATTTTAATTTTTTTTTTTAAAAATAGATATTGTATATTTATGAAAAGAACTTTTAATAAATAGTAACAATACAAACTCGATGTTGAATATTTAATTATAAAAAGCTTATTTTTAAATTTAAAATATTATAACAATAAAAAATATTATATATTAATATAATATAAATACCATGCTCTTTCAAAACTATATCTAAGTCTGATTAAAAAGAAAAAAGAATTATTTTTAAGTCCAGCCAAAATATCGTGACGATTCGGATAAACACCGAATGTCGGAAAGCTAAAATCGCATTTTTGACTCGTCACGGTTGCTTGCTTTCTCGTTCAGACACAATTACAAACAAACGCACGCACTGTAGGAAAAGGGTAACGAAACACGCTTTCTCAATAGAAGTCTCGGGCCGGGCCGGGCCGGGGGCCCACTTTTGTCATGCCCGTGCCGTACACACAGGCGACATAGTCCACGTTTGGCGACGCCTTTTCAAGTTTCGGTTTTAAATAAATTGCAAAGTTCCCATCCAAACCCAAAAGACTCTCTATCTAATTCTAAAAGAAATATATATTTATTTTTATCAAAAACCATCGTATCAAATAATTAAATTTTTTTTTTCAAAAACATGTATCTAAATGAATTCAGAATCATCAGAGCAGACATAGGTGGGACAGAATGCATGCGTTTAATTTGATTTATGGATGTTTTGGTAATGCTAATGTTGTTAGAGATTTAGCAGTCCTGTCCAGGACAGGGTAAGTGACCAACTTTGATTTGTGTATGTGGTCTGGCCTACATGCATCTTTAATTCAATTTAATGCGTGTGTAATATGTATCATAAATAAATAAATATTTTATTTATTTAATTAGGGGATAATATAATTGTGAATAGAAGGAGTGGTGTCGGTGGGTGTGTTTTATAGAGTGGGGGTGGGGGGGGGGTTGACCATACAAATATTAATTTGGCTATCAAAATCAAAATTTAAATTAAAAGGAAGCAGTGTCTGAAACAAAAGGATCTGTCTACACAACACATACATGAAAATGTTTGACTGTAGTTTCATTTCATAACTGTAATAATCATATACTTATATAATATATACGTGGCAATAAGTCTTGTAAATTCCTAAAAGGTAGAAAATAGACGTATGGATTATGGGGTAGGGGTAGGGGTGGGTCACTACACAAACACATATGTATATATAGTACTTAAATACAACACAATTTCACTCATTTGACACTATTTATTTTTTAAAAAATATCACATCAAATATATATATTTATTCCTCACGAAATATCAAATCAAAAATACTAATTTTTTATTTTTTTCAAAATTTCAAAATTTTAAAAATCTTCAAAAACCTCTGTCTAAACAAAGTCATATTATTATTACTCCCTCCGTCCCGGAACTAAATATTCATTTGCTTTTTGCACGTAATTTTAGAAATATTATTAGTATGTGTGATATAAAGGTAATGACATTTATGTAATATATTGTAAGTTGTAAGGGTATTTCTAATATTAGGTAGATAGTACATTTATAAAAAAGAAAATAAATACTTTTTTATGGGACGGATTAAAATGAAAAAATGAATACTTTGTTATGGGACGGAGGGAGTATTTTCTTTTATAGTATTTAAAAAAATATATATTATTAATGAATAATAATGCAAAAATATCTGTGGATATGGGCTTCGATGTCAATGATATCGCGTATTTTTATTTTGTTAATTAGTTTATGATCTTTAAATTCTTAATTAGAGATTTTAGATTTACTAATGACGACTTTCAACGACAACTCAAGATTAATTTCAATCAAAATTTGAAATTCTCAAGCACAATTATGGGGAAAGATTTCGATTTTTTTATTTTATTTTATTTTTTATTTTTTTAGTTTCGTGTTTACAGAAGAACTAAAGGGAATGTTGATTGTGTGTTCAAATGTACTCCACTAATTACGATTTAATGCTTGATTTTATTGTATGTATGTAAGTGTGTGTAATGCAATAAGTACTGGCATGTGTAATAATTGATAATTAATTTAAATAAATGCAGCAGACAAATTATTTAAGGCAGTATATTAAATGTTGCCCATATTTCTCAACCTAAACAACGTTGTCTAACCTATACAATATAGCTAAATCTACAATAATTAATTTATCCATCCTCACACCATTATTAGCTTGCAATTAATTTCAATTCTATGTTTTGGTTGTTAAAATCACTTTATGTGAATATTTTTCTACAGAATATCTAAACCAATTTTTATTTATAATAAAAACTTTTGGAAAAAAAATAAAATAAAATCATCCCATGCATGTATTATAAAGTGAAGTGAATGGCACACGCTTATCTATTTAATTTGATTAAACGAATGATTTTTTGAGATATTTAAATAATACTAGTATAATTGTAATAAAGTAAGGTAAGTTCACCTTTATTGTGAATGGATATTTGTAATATTAGAGAACAAATTGACAACTAATTGCTTACACTTAAGATTTAACGACAAAAAATATAAAATACATACCGATCGATTCATAGCTGTGAACAAAATTTGCTACGGATTAGCAAAACAGCTATGGGAGAGTACTGTTTAATTTGAATATATATATATATATATGTATATATTCAAAATAATTAATAATAATAATAATAATAATAATAATGGTGATAATTGTATTGTATTGTATTTGATGATTTATATTATGGCTAAGAGTGGATCAGCCCCTGCAGCAAAATCATTGAAGTAATCCTCGACTTCGATCGAACCAAGGTCGTGAAATGTAGAATCCTTAATATCTGCAAAATTATTGTCCAAAGGAGGGAAATCTGCGGGACACGTGGCGAAATCGTGGAACCCGAACAACGAAGGCTCATCCTGCGGCTCAAAATTAAAGAAGTCATCCAAGAAAGGAATATCCAACGGCAGGTATTCGTTTGAGTAATCTGGCGGCGCAACGGTCTCCCCTTGGCATTCGTCGCCGGCCTCCACCGGAACCTGCTCGCCGGACTCCGTCGACGGGTCCCCGTCGGCGCTTCGGAAACGGAGAACGGAAGTCGGTGAGCAAAGGTTGTGGGATTCGTCGGCGGATTCGTACCCGGAGAATGACGTCACGTTATTTTCCGGCAACGGGTCCTTCGCCGGCGGCGTGATGAAGTTCGTTAGAGCGTCGGGTCCCCGGAGCTTAATGGCGGCGCTGTCGTAGACCATGGCGGCTTCCTCCGCCGTGTCGTATGTGCCCAGCCAGAGGCGGACCCGTCTGGACGGGTCTCGTATCTCCGCCGCCCATTTCCCCCACGGCCGCTGCCGCACTCCCCGGAACTTCCTGACGCCGCCGCCGCCGGCAGCCTCTTTGAGCTTCATCCGCCGCGGCTTCGCCTGAAGATTCTCTGCAGTTCGAACCCTGTCATTCGGGCAGTTACCGGCGCTGACCGCCGCCGTCTCCATTCTGATTTCCTCGATGTACCTCTTGACACGTGGCCGCCGGAAAATCTCATCCTCCTCGTCGCTGGAGGAATCCGTCGCGTCGGCGTCGGTGACGGAAATCCTAACGGTTCTCGGATGATTAAGGCTCTGGTGGTCTGGGACCTTCCGGGCGTCGGAGGGCAGCTTCTTAAGGCCCTGTTTGGATGGCTTCACCAACTTTTTCGTGATTTTCCGATACTCTTTGTATTTCACCGGAAATAAGAAGCTTGGATCCATTGCGTACTTAACATACAGAGACAGAAACTCAGAATCAAACCTTAAAACCAGGAAAGAATTCAAGAGTGTATGAATTCACGAAAAAAGGTGTGAAAGAAGAAACAAACAAACGAACGTATGAAAGGGCAGAGTACAGTGCAGAGGTTTTGTGGGGAGACTGAAACCCAACACTGAAATCGCTGTCTTATAGGATCTCCCGAATTAGTAACGACAAAAAAATGCGGCAGGCCAATTTGTCACATCATTCATTTAAAAAATTCAACTTTTTTCTAAAAAATAAATGAAAACCCCAAATCTTTTTGGCTGGCATTAATATTATTCCAATATCAGATTAAAAATTAAATCAGAATTCCAAATATATTAAAGTCAAACAAAATAAAGCAGTCGTCTGTGGCCCGTCGACACCGCCCGTCGGCGTAATAAAGATTCCGACCGAGGACACGTGGCAGTCTCGGAGGGACCCACCGGAGATGGGTTGGTCCAATGAGTATCCACGAAACGGTGTCGCTGCATGATTTTAGGCCTCGAACAACGTGTGGCCTGTCACGTGAGGCCCAGGATGCCCGGTTAAAAGAAAATCTCTGGTCAAAATTAAAAAGCAAATTTGGAAGATTTATTTGGAAGGTGATATTCCTAATTTTAAATTAAATGGGTTTCTAACTTGAGTACAGTAAATAAATTAAAAATCAGAGAAAAATGAAGAAAATTAAATTAAGGGAAGAATATTTACAGCTAGAAATAACGTGGCGGGCAACCTAGGATTCGCCGCCATTTACAATTGGGTTAATTGTACGGGCTGGGCTCTCCGGGTTTTACCCTGTCTCTCCATTCCCCGAGGCCACGCGATTCACCGCGCGTGTCGGAAAAGGTAAAAAAGGAAAGTGGTAAAAATGTGCACGTGCTTACTGTACACGCCCCTCATGAGGTTGTCTGAACGGTCCTTGTGGACCGTTGCACACGTGATTATTCATCCCCCTCTTCACTACAAAATGAAATAAATCATTTATTAGTTTTATTATTTGTGATTTGAAGTGCTGATTATAAATTTATATATATTTTAAATAATAAAAATAGTAATTGTATGTTGCTTTTTTTTTTTTTTTTTTTAAATAATGTAAATTGTATAGTAGTGTTAAAATAATTTGGAAACTACAAGTGAAGAGGTGTATAATATTTAAATCTAATTGCCTCTTTTTATTAAACCAGCTTGTGGGATGTATCATTTTGCAAAGATATTAAAGTATATTCTTTTAATTAATTAATTTATTTATTTCTATTTTGATGTTATGAAGATTTTTTGTACCTTACGGAAAAAAAAAAAGATTGATTGATAGTATGTGATATTTTTAGATGAAAAATAAAAGATTGAATAGTTAAAACTCAAGAATGAAAATATGGATGTATTGTAATAATATAATTTTAGAAACACACTTGTAAATAAAATTAAATACCAAAAAGTGTTACTAAATTATGTATGTATTGTGTTTACTATTAAATATATGACATTGTTACAATATCTAAATATAAGCTAAACTATAAACTATTAATTTAGTTATGTTTGTTTGACCAGTGGATCTAGGGTCATATGATCCCACTTAATTCTAATTAATTATATATACATTTTAGAGGATTTTTATTTCATTTTTGTCACATTAAAATTATCATTTTTTCTCCAACATTACTATTTTTTATATTTTAAAAGTGCTTTCGACAACTATTTTAACATCGATGTTTAAAAAATAGAGGTAAATCACACAAGCAAAAAATGCCATAATCTACTATTTTTTTTAATTTTTTTTTAATTTAATATTGCTTAAGTGTGTTAAATATATATAGACAAAAATCATATCAAATATTTAATTTTTTTTTTTACTATTTTATTTTTTAAAAAAACCTCCAAACCTTAAAATAACTTTTATGTAATTACTGCATTATAAAAATATTTTAAGAAAAATAAAATAAAAGTAAATATTAAAGCTAATTAACTCGAAACATGTATTTGTTTATTTACATGGCAATCATAAATGTATGTGTCACATCAAACTTAGTGTCAATTCGATGAAAATCCAACATCCTTTAATTATGAGTTGTATGTAATTATCACTTAGACATTACGCAAGGGATGAAGTACAAATAATATTTATACTTACATTCTTGTGCATGCTCTGATACCTATCCATAAAGTTAATTAATTAATTAATTACTATAATTTAATTTGTGCACTTAATAATAATAATAATAATAATCAAGAATTTTGAAGGTTTATTATTTACACGTGGCAAATTAGTACATATATATATATTGTGCATGAATCTTAGAAATCAAGGGAAGGCAGGCAACAAAGATGTGGAACATGTCACTCTCACCTAAATAATGACCTTAATTATTTTGTTTTCTTTACATTAATTTAAGTTAAGAAAATAAAATTAATAATAAGTACTAAAATAGTTTAGTTTCTTTGAACTTAGCATTCTAAGATTTTCTAAAAAAAACATAAAAATGCAATAGTGAAGTAATAAAAACACAAATAAAACATACATAAACAGTTTGATAACCTCTTTATCTCTCAATAAAAAAAAATGGCAATACATAGTAGAATATTATGGCTGTTAATTGAATTTCCAACACTTACCTTTACATGCAAGAGATATTATATAAATTCATTAAATTAATAGTCTAAATATGATATCTTGTTAACTGATTTAATTAAATTTTTTTAATATATATATATATATATACATACATGTATGTATTGACTCATTGGGGTTTGGCCAACCCATTGAGCCAAGTGAGGTGAGAAAATTACATATGGAGGTGGACAAACACTAACCAGCCATAGCCTAATTAAATTATTATATATAAGTTATAGTTAATCATAATACATTAACTCAATATTTAAGATATATACGATCAAGTTGTAGTGTATATATATATATATATATATATAATTTGGAGAATAAGTCAATGAGCATCAACCCCAATAAGGGGTGTACAATTTCTTAATGAAAACAATTAATTATATATATAGAATAGTTGTGATGATGAAATTTAATTGAGTACATTTGTGTTTTTACTTTTGAGGTGATAATAGAAGTTAGATGTGATATTTTATATGAAAAATAAATATTAAATGTATATATATATATATATATATATATGATAGTAGAAAATAAAAATACAAAAGAAAAAAGCCTTTAATTACTTGTCCCCAAAATCCAGCTTAGCTTTGCTTATTCATCACTAACTAATTAATTATATATAAATGATGCCTCTTTGGTTTAAGTGAAATTTCACCTTATTTTACTCTTTATGTCCTTTTGCGTTTCAAACTTAACTATAATTAATATATAAAATCACATGTGTGTGTGTGTGTGTGTGTCTAGAAGACGACCAGTAGGGTAGGCTAGTAACTAGTTGTGTGTAGATATTTTGTGGGGGGCTTAATTAACAAATGGCATATATAGTATCTAATGAGATATTTGTTTAACTTAAATATATTCTTTAAAATCTCGATTAAATATGTATATATATATATATATATATTTAGATAGAGAGAGATTATTATTATTATTATTTTATTATTATTATTATTAAATAGTAGTCAAATTTAATGTGTTAGAATGAAAAATGAATGTTGAAGTACATATGATATGTTCTTACACTCTCATATATTATTTCTATTACAAATATTATTCAATAATTTGGATAGTAAAAAAATTGAGAGAGAGAAAAAAAAAATCTAAAGTTAAGAAAATTCTATTTCGTTTTAGTATTTAAAAATTTTGAGGTGAAAATATTTATTATATGTGAAGTTTTAAATGGAATGTTGTTGGATGTAATTTTCTTTCTTTGTTTGTTTTTAACAATATAATATATTGTAAGTCGAATAGTGAAAAAATAAATAAAAAATATATCTAGTAAATTATTAAGCTAAATTGTAGTCATGGTATTTTGTATGCTAAATTCAAATAAATAAATACTGTGTATAAAAATTAATAGTTACTTACCATAGTGTTAGTAATAAAATAAACATAAAACTCCTATTTACTGTTGTTGATTAAGAGGGATTTCATGTCCAATTTTGTTGATATAATAAATCGAATAATATTTTTAGAGAATATTTATAATATGATATTGGTGGGATTTCGATGCCAATAATGGCTACGGAAATTGAACAAATATTCAAAATCCCCAAAAGAGAAAACAAGAAAAATTAAAAATAAGGAACATAATAATTGATGGGTTGAGAGAAGAATCATAACAGTAAATGCAGAATTCAAAAACAACGACTTTTTAATCCCTAAAAATGCTAATTATTATAAATTCCAATTAATATAAATAAATAAAAACAACAAGATCTGTTGTTGGTATTAGTGTACGTTAGAAATATAATACAATAATAAAAACAAATAAAAATTGTGGAAGCTCGCATTTTCAAGGGGAGACTGGGAAAACACGCTTTTTATAATATGTTATCTTCAGTGAAAAGAAAAACGTCCACTCGAAGCAAGAGATGTTGGTGGTCATTTATCATTTTTATCAACATTAACTTCATACATAATATTAATTAAAATAAAAATTTGACTGTATTTATTTTGAAATTAAAATTATTATTAAATGATTGTAATAGATATTATTTAAGTTAATAGAAAAAATATTTTATTATTTACTGTATAATGTGAAATATAAATTAGGAGTAGTATATAGACGTAAATAGACAGTAAGTATTCTGTCCATCCCATATTACCGCAGATGCAGAATTTAGGTAAAATGTAATTAGTAAGTAATTAAAAAGCATATTAATAAAGATAATTAAATAATTTTTTAAAAAAATTTAAAATTATAAATATAAATAAAATGTATAATTATATATATTTTTTAAAAAAAGATAAATTAGATAAGACCTACCAAAATAAAGAAAAGAGAAAGAAATACTCCCTCATTCTCCTTCCCATGTAATATGAGTGTATCAGTATAGAAAAGAAAATTTAGGTAAAATATAATTAGTAAGTAATTAAGAAATATATTAGTAAAAATAATAATTATTTAGTAAAAATAATTATAGATTAAGATTAAGATAGTTAAATAGTTTAATTAAGATTAAAAAAAATTCTAATTTTAAATTTTAAAATATGATTAAAGT